CTGGGTCTTGCTAGTACTTGTACCTCTGGCGTTTCGTCTCTCAAATATAGTGAAATAATTATTTGAAATTTCCGTTTCGGCATGGCGGAATCAGACACACCAGTACTCAGCCCTGACATTGCTGCCCTCACCCAGCTCATGAGACAGCAGATGGAGACCGCCGCCACCCGCGAGCACCACCTGACACAGCTCGTGGAGCGAACTTTGAGGAGCATTTCTCAACCTCCACCACCGCAACGTCCACCCCCAGCCCCACCGGCACGAGATCATGTACCTGCGGCGAGACCAGTTTCGGTCGATCGCCCTATGTTACTTGCCTCTGCCTCTCTCGCAGAGTTTGCCGCATGGGAAGGTCTTTGGCGGGACTACGCCCGGTGCCAGCACCTGGATTCCCAGGACAATGCCACCAGAGTGGCAACGGTTCGTCAGTGCCTGGACGAGGACCTCCGGAGATTTCTTCGTGAGGGCACAATTCCTCTGGCTGACAACCACGACGACGACGATCTCATCAAGGCTGTACAGGCATACATTCGCGGCCAGCGTAACCCTCTGCTGGACCGGATCGCCTTCTATGCCCGCCAACAGCAGCATGGAGAGTCCTTCGATCAGTACCTGACTACCCTCAGGGAGATCCACAATTGCTGCGATTTCAGCGAAGCTGCACTCTGCAATTTCTGTTCAAGCCGAGTATGCCGCCAATGCCAGCAGGGACAGCGTACCAGGTACGACGAGACCATGCGTGATCGCCTGGTTACTGGCATTCTCGACACGGAGACACGCCATAAGCTCCTTGCCACTACCGATCTAACGTTGGAGAAGGTCATTAAATTGTGTCGAGCGGAGGAGGCAGCCTCTCGGACGAGCAGCAGTATCCCCGGCACTAGCTCCGTCAATGCTGCTCGGAAAACAAATTATCAGCGGTCAAAACACGGCAATAACCCGCGACAGCAACAGGCGTCCGCCACGCCATCGCAATGTCCGAATTGTGGTCGCACTCCCCATGCCAGCAAGTCGCAGTGTCCTGCACATGGCAAAAAGTGTAGCGGCTGCAAGATTATTGGACATTTCCAAGCGGTGTGCAGAAAATCCCGCAAACCGGCTGACCAGTCCTCGCAGCGCACGCTGGGACGACTACAGCTCCGCCGCGCTCAGTGTGATGCATCTCCTACGGTGCCGGTCGACACGCAATTGTGCACTGAACCTGACGCTACCTCCCTGGAATGGATCCCCGATACGGGAAGTGACATTGACGCTATTGGCGTCGATCAGTTAGCGCATCTCGGTGGTTTTGTGGAGAATCTGGCCACAGACCATGATAATGTGCATGCTGCCAATGGTGAACGTCTCGTTTCAGCTGGCAAGATCTCTGCCACCCTCACCATTGGCTCGCTCAAGCATGATAGCACCATCCATGTGTACCGTGGACTGCGTGAACCCCTGTTGTCACGCCAATCGCTATACGCCTTAGGCCTCTTACCAGACGGCTGGCCCAAGCAAGGTGCGCGTGTTTGTACCAGCAGCACACCACCTCCAACGGCTCCCGTTGTGACGACCGGTCTCGTGAACAGACCTGACCCTAGCAAGCTGGCGCAGATCCGTGCTGACCTACTGCGAGAGTTCGCAGACGTCTTCGACGACACGACATTGAAACCCATGTGTGGCAAGCCAATGGACATCATTCTCGAAGATGATGCGAAACCTCACCGAGTCTACACAGCTCGTCCTATCGCACATGCCTACCGTGAGCAGGTGAAAACCCAGCTCGACAATATGGTTGAGGAAGGCATCATCGAGACAGTGTCAGAGCCGTGCGACTGGTGCCACCCCATTGTTGTAGTCGACAAGAAGAATTCTAGTGAGAAACGTCTGACTGTGGACCTTCAGTCTCTCAACCGACAAGTGAAGCGTCCCACCCACCCCATGCAGAACGCACGTGATGCTCTCTCTGGCATCGGCACAGCCCGATGGTTCACCAAGTTTGACGCCCGTCATGGCTATTGGCAGGTGCCCCTGTCTGAGTCTGCCAAGTCTCTCACTACGTTCATCACGCCGTGGGGTAGATACCGATTCTGCCGGAATCCACAAGGTCTTGTGTCCGCCGGCGATGAGTACAACCGCCGCACCGACGCAGCTTTCGACCGTTTGACCCATCTCATCAAGGTGGTGGACGACGGCCTCGTTCACGATGAGTCATTCTCGGACCATGTCGCTCACGTCCGTGCCGTCCTGACCCGTGCACGCGAACACGGAATTACTCTCAGTCAAAAGAAGTTTGTCTTCGCCGCTCCTGAAGTCGAATTCTGTGGGTTTCATGTGTCGTCCAACGGATACACCGTGCCAGCTGACAAGACATCGGCTCTTCAGCACTTCAACCTACCCACCAATCGTACCGACCTCCGTTCCTTCCTCGGTCTGGTGAATCAGTGTGGAGAATTCACCCCACGGATATCCGAGCTCGCAGCTCCGCTACGTCCGTTATTGAAGACCACGAATGAGTTCGTGTGGGATGATGTCCACACCGCGGCTTTCAACGCCACCAAGTCTGAACTGATATCGCCGCCGACTCTCTCGTACTACCGTCCTGGTGACGACCTTCGGCTAGAGACCGACGCCTCTGCCCTGAACGGACTTGGGTTCGTGTTATGGCAACGCCAAGATAACCAGTGGCGCATGCTGCAGTGTGGCAGCCGCTTTCTCACCGACGCAGAGACACGTTATGCCGTCATAGAACTGGAGTTACTTGCTGTGGTTTGGGCTGTCCACAAGTGCTCCCTCTTTCTGTCCGGCAGCCGATTCGATTTGTTCACTGACCACCGTTCATTGGTCCCGATTCTGAACAAGTACACCCTGGATCAGATAGAAAATCCACGTCTGCTACGCCTCGCACTGAAGCTCCGGTCGTTTCAACTCGTCGCGCACTGGCGCAAGGGCAAAGAGAATGCGTTTGCTGATGCACTGTCCCGTAACCCGGTCGACAAGCCGACCAGTGAGGAAGAATTCGGTGAAAGCTCAACGCTCTCAGCACCAGCCATCAGAGCATGTCTCCGCCAGGACGAGGATGGCCGAATTGCAGACCTCCGGCACTGCGAGCTCTTGGACGCTGCCCGTGCCGATGATGACTATCAGGCCCTTCTCCAAGCCGTTCGTGAAGGTTTCCCTGATGATCAGCGCGCCGTCCACTCAGCTGTGAAACCGTACTTCACTATCCGCGAGCATCTTTCAGTCGACGGTGATCTTGTCCTGAAAGGCCAACGTGTTGTGGTCCCGCGTACCCTCCGCCCACGTGTGCTCCAGGATCTTCATGCCTCCCACCAAGGCCTCAACCGCACACAGCGTCGAGCTCGACAAGTCGTATACTGGCCACACTTGTCTAATGACATCGCCCAAGTCGTTCGCAGTTGCGAACAGTGTCGCTTGCACGCTCCGTCTCAGTGTAAGGAACCGATGCGTGTCACCGCTGACCGCCGTCCCACCCTGCCATTCCAGTCAACCAGTGCCGACTTATTTTCCTGTCAAGGTTGGGAATACCTGGTTTACGTCGACCGTCACACTGGCTGGCCTTGCATTGCCAAGATCGGCCGCACTGCATCTTCTGCCGATGTGATCCGTGTGTTCCGTGGCTGGTTCGCCGACGTCGGTGTCCCCAGCATCCTCACCACTGATGGTGGTCCGCAATTTTCATCACGTCGCTTTGCTGAATTTTGCACCCGATGGCAAGTTCAGCACTCCACGTCTTCACCTCATTATCCTCAATCTAATGGCCATGCCGAAGCCGCCGTGAAAGCGATGAAATCACTTGTGTTGAAGACCACGTCCGACGGTAACTTGGACGTCGATGAGTTCAGACGCGCATTGTTAGAATGGCGCAACACCCCCCGAGAAAATGGTCAGAGCCCAGCCCAAGCACTGTTTGGTCGACCATTGTCCTCCTTCGTGACAGCTCATCATCTCAGCTTTGCTCCTGATTGGCAAGCAAAAGCCACCGATGTTGACAAGCGCTCTGCCGCTCAGTCTGCCACCCAAGAACAGCATTATGATGAGTCTGCCAGATCACTGTCCCCACTTCGCATTGGCATGCGGGTTGACATCCAAGATCCGCGCACCAAACTCTGGCGCACCACCGGCGTGGTCGTCGCCATTGGTCGCAACCGGGACTATATGGTGAAGTTACCCAGCGGCCGTGTTTACTGGCGCAACCGTCGCCTTCTCAAGCCTGCCCCTGCCGTAGCCCCTCCTGCTCCGCCTGCAGACACCTCCCCGGCTGAGCCCGCAGCACCGCAGCAGCCTTGTGTGCAGCAGCCTCGTCGTAGCCAACGGTCTCGCCAGGCACCAGAGCGTTTGAACATTTCGTCCACAGCATCTAAGTCCTATGCTTGACTCTACCTACCTGTACCTCACACTCTTGCTACAAGTAGTTGGTATTGGTATCACGCTTCATTAGTGTTTACTTTCTTTTCTGTCACTTCTGTTTTCTCCTTCTCATTTATGTGAGATAAACAGCTCCGATTTTTCGCTTGTTTATCTCAGAAGGGGCGTGTGGTGTACCCGTGTACATCGTACATATTTGCACTCTCATGTTTCTTATTATGCTACTGCATCTCCTTGCATGGACGTGCGTACAACCTTACAGCATACTACTCATACTATGCATGCATGTGTGTACTCCGTGCCCATAATCGACAGTGCATGTCTCTTGTTGCTGGTCAGTCTTTCCTTGGTAGTTTCCTGACGAGTCGTCCTCTCTGTCCTTCGTTGCATTATTCTATTTCAATATAACTAATCATCACATAGACTTGATGATACCACAGGCATGTTTGCGTGTTTGCAATACTGCGCTACAGTAGCAGCACTCTTGTGTAAGTGCAGATAATTTCCCTTTTCGGGGTTTCAGTATCACTGCGCTCTTTTGCCGTGCACATGTCAGTGACGAGGGCTGGCAATGTATAGTGTGATTTCTTCGTGATATTCGTGATGATGTGCTCTCCACTGCATTCTCGAAGGCAATGATACAGCAGCAGCAGCAGCCGCAACAACAGCAGCAGCCGCAACAACAGCAGCAGCCGCAACATCATCAACCGTCACAACAGCAGCAGCCGCCACAACAGCAGCCGCCACAACAGCAGCAGCTGCGGCAACCTCCCTTACCGCCGGCAGCGATTGGCAGCAATCTATACCAGTCGCAGTATGGTAACACGCCAACGGCATCCTCCGCCAGTGGATGGAGTGGCGCAGCAGTTTACGCTGATAGAAGCTCTTCAAATTATCATCTTAGCAACAGACCGGTCCAGCAAGGTCACACATCTTACTCTGGATCTTCGGTGAAGGCACTGTCGGGACACCAGAGCAGTGTGAGTAGACAGACACACATATTCACGCACGTGCGCGCGCGCGCACACACACACACACACACACACACTGTGCTTGCTCACTGCCAGAGTTGGTCACGTGGGTCTCCCCGGGAGAGGGGAGAGAGAATCTAAAGAAATCTTGGAAAGATGACTCAATTGGCTATTGAACCGCGCAATGGCCGACACCCCCTGAAATCCCCAGACTAGGGTGGACTGGAAATGATTCCTTTTATGGGATCACCACACCTCAGTAGGTGTGTGAGGACAAGGTGCAGAAGGATTGACGGCATCAGGGTGTCCGTCCCGAGATCCAAATGCAGTTGCCGATGCCCCCAGTGAAGGTAATACTTGCTACTAGTGTGGGTGGCTAAATCAGAGTGGATCTGGTACTTGGTCCGCGTCAGCGATATTGTCGCTTTCAGCTTTGTTTATATGTCGCCAATGCTCACTTGGCAGCCCATTTCATCCCAATTTTGGTTAGTAAGTTAGTTTACTAGTACCTGAAAGATCTAGCTAGATTTCGAGTGGATTTCGAGAGCGACAAGTGGGTGGTTTTGATTGATACAGCGCTGCAAAAAATAGATGATCTTGTTACGCTGTGCAGGCAAGAGCGCATGCGCAAGCCACAAGAAAGAAATTGGCGACTCGGAATCAGGTCCATTTTGCTGAACGGCCGAGATCGCTCACCTCAGGGATCGCTCGTCAAGCTGAGATCGCAGCTCCTTTACCTCCAGCTCAACACCCGGAGTATCCAGCGCGACAATGAGATTTGCAAGTACTGTACGCGTCGTCGTCGTCGTTGAAAAATAAAAAATCTTACATAGAACGACGTTTGATTAGAACCACACAGGCTGTCGTGCTGCCCACGCGAAGTCCTATAGAGAAGGCGACCGTCACGATCGACTTCTCTTTAGAAAATAGCCAGGCAGCGGAGAGGAAGAGAGATGAGCTTGCAAAAGCAAAGAGTCAATCCCGAGCAAAAGTATTTGTCACCAGCGCCGAGAGCAGAGAGGTGGAGGACCGAAAAATGTACGAACCCTTCCTTGGACAATAAATTCCTCATAGCTAGTTGTCATTCTATACCTTACCTTCCATCAAACCACGTTTTATCACTTCAAGTGCACGCGTCGATGTCCAAAGTCTAAGTTCAAATTGTCGAAAGATAAGCGACAATATTGCTGATTAGACTGGAGTTAATCTAGCCAGAAGCAGTCCATGGTTAACAGGTATGTATACTTGATGTACTTCAAATAGAAAGTATATGAACCCTGAAACCAACAAAGGTGGTAGTAAGAGTGCATAAACAAGAGTATGCAATTGTGGTTATGGGTCAGTGCGCGGCGCGCTGCCTTCATTACGTAACTTGCCTTCATCACGCTCTGAAAGCATGCATTCAAACTCACAATCTCTCGTACGAGCCCATCTGTTTTTTTGCTCGATTCGTTCCAGTACTTACGCGATCTCTAAATTCTGGCGCGTGAACTCCAGTTCCGTACAAAATTTCATTTCAAACCAGAGGATAAGTGCGGTGTTTGATTTTCCGCAGTGAGCGGACTGCAGCTGAATGATGTAATGAAGGCAGCGCGCCGCGCATCTGGCCCATAGAAAAGAGATCACAGTTGCATACTCTTGTTTATGGACTCTTGGTGGTAGGTACAACAATGCACTTTCAAGCAGCCAAGTTGTTTTCCGCACTTTATCTCACTTTTTTATGCACTTTTCACGCAGTGCTTTCCATAATCCTGTAGGTTTTTTGAACAGTCCGACTCGTACTACTCCCAAGGAGATATACGATGCAACAAATTTCGTGATTTGGCCCAAATCCGCAATTTTCTGTAAATAATTCCGCGAATTCCTGGCAAGTTCTGCATCATTCTGCACTTTTCGTCGCATTTTTGTTGTTTTCTGCCGCAATTTCTTGCGCAAGTTTTTGAGAGTTTTTCCGCAAATTCTCGCAGGGAAAGTCTATGCATGCATATGCGCGCATGAAAATGGTCAATGCGAAAGGAATGAATCAGGGAGTAGTAAAATACCGGTATTTTTCTACTCCCCGGTCTAAATATATGAACATGTGACCATGTACATACTGTATGTGTGACCCTATCTTTGGAAATTAAAAAATGTGGGAAATAGAATAAAAAATCACTCGCTCGCACAAATTTACACAGGCGCATGACCTGAGAATAAACTTTGACTTTTACCATGGCCTAATGAGACTTTTTAGCCTCCCAAATTGGCTGGTCTGTTGCCTCTGGGCATGGAAATTCTATCGTTATTCAGGAATTGTCGTTATATCCGCAGCCGTTATTAGCCAAGATGACTGTATGCCATGTATTTCTCGTTTTTATTTCTCTAACTCTTTTACCGACAGATGCGTTAGCCCATGGCAGATCTCACCCATGGGGTACATACCAGCTGTTATTCTTATTCTTATTATTGTTACCTCAACTCAACAACTTAAGTAGAACGGTCTCTTTGTTGCATACGCAAACTAACAGTTATTCACCAAATTTCCAGGCATGGCTAACCTTCAGGGTGAAAGCCGTTTGGACTTAAGTATAACTAGCCATACTACTACCAGTAATATTACTGTGGATGACTTTTTATTCCTTGGATTTGAGTGAATAAGGTCAAAAAGAGACTCGAGGGTCATACACGTTCAGGGAAATTCCCTAAACTATAGTTTAGACAGGACAGTGCCCTACCCAACAGGTGCTAAATGCCTATGAACAGTTAATTATTGCATTGATTCCGTCTTTCAGTGTTAAAGACTCTGTGACTTGGACTGATGTGCAGGTTGGATTGAGCAGAATTTGTAGATGTGTGCCAATAGAAACTTTGGCTAGGCATGTTTGCGTGTTTGCAATACTGCGCTACAGTAGCAGCACTCTTGTGTAAGTGCAGATCATTTCCCTTTTCGGGGTTTCAGTATCACTGCGCTCTTTTGCCGTGCACATGTCAGTGACGAGGGCTGGCAATGTATAGTGTGATTTCTTCGTGATATTCGTGATGATGTGCTCTCCACTGCATTCTCGATGGCAATGATACAGCAGCAGCAGCAGCAGCCGCAACAGCAGCAGCAGCCGCAACAACATCAACCATCACAACAGCAGCAGCCGCCACAACAGCAGCCGCCACAACAGCAGCAGCTGCGGCAACCTCCCTTACCGCCGGCAGCGATTGGCAGCAATCTATACCAGTCGCAGTATGGTAACACGCCAACGGCATTCTCCGCCAGTGGATGGAGTGGCGCAGCAGTTTACGCTGATAGAAGCTCTTCAAACTATCATCTTGGCAACAGACTGGTGCAGCAAGGTCACACATCTTACTCTGGATCTTCGGTGAAGGCACTGTCGGGACACCAGAGCAGTGTGAGTAGACAGACACACAGATTCACGCACGTGCGCGCGCGCGCGCACACACACACACACACACACACACACACACTGTGCTTGCTCACTGCCAAAGTTGGTCACGTGGGTCTCCCCGGGAGAGGGGAGAGAGAATCTAAAGAAATCTTGGAAAGATGACTCAACTGGCTATTGAACCGCGCAATGGCCGACACCCCCTGAAATCCCCAGACTAGGGTGGACTGGAAATGATTCCTTTTATGGGATCACCACAAATCAGTAAGTGGGTGAGTACAAGGTGCAGAGGGATTGACGGCATCAGGGTATCCGTCCCGGGATCCAAATGCAGTTGCCCCTGCCCCCAGTGAAGGTAATACTTGCTACTAGTGTGGGTGGCTAAATCAGAGTGGATCTGGTACTTGGTCCGCGTCAGCGATATTGTCGCTTTCAGCTTTGTTTATATGTCGCCAATGCTCACTTGGCAGCCCATTTCGTCCCAATTTTGGTTAGTAAGTTAGTTTACTAGTACCTGAAAGATCTAGCTAGATTTCGAGTGGATTTCGAGAGCGACAAGTGGGTGGTTTTGATTGATACAGCGCTGCAACAAAATAGATGATCTTGTTACGCTGTGCAGGCAAGAGCGCAAGCGCAAGCCACAAAAAAGAAATCGACTACTCGGAATCAGCTCCATTTTGCTGAACGGCCGAGATCGCTCACCTCAGGGATCGCTCGTCAAGCTGAGATCGCAGCTCCCTTACCTCCAGCTCAACACCCGGAGTATCCAGCGCGACAATGAGATTTGCAAGTACTGTACGCGTCGTCGTCGTCGTTGAAAAATAAAAATCTTGCAAAGAACGACGTTTGATTAGAACCACACCTGTCGTGCTGCCCACGCGAAGTCCTATCGAGAAGGCGACCGTCACGATCGACTTCTCTTTAGAAAATAGCCAGGCAGCGGAGAGGAAGAGAGATGAGCTTGCAAAAGCAAGAGAGTCAATCCCGAGCAAAAATATTTGTCACCAGCGCCGAGAGCAGAGAGGAGGAGGACCGAAAAATGTACGAACCCTTCCTTGGACAATAAATTCCTCATAGCTAGTTGTCATTCTATACCTTACCTTCCATCGTACCACGTTTTATCACTTCAAGTGCACGCGTTGATGTCCAAAGTCTAAGTTCTAATTGTCGAAAGATAAGCGACAATATTGCTGATTACACTAGAGTTAATCTAGCCGAAGCAGTCCATGGTTAACAGGTATGTATACTTGATGTACTTCAAATAGAAAGTATATGAACCCTGAAACCAACAAAGGTGGTAGTAAGAGTGCATAAACAAGAGTATGCAACTGTGGTTATGGGTCAGTGCGCGGCGCTCTGCCTTCATTACGTAACTTGCCTTCATCACGCTCTGAAAGCATGCATTCAAACTCACAATTTCTCGTACGAGCCCATCTGTCTTTTTGCTCGATTCGTTCCAGTACCTACGCGATCTCTAAATTCTGGCGCGTGAACTCCAGTTCCGTACAAAAGCTCATTTCAAACCAGAGTATAAGTGCGGTGTTTGATTTTCCGCAGTGCGCGGACTGCAGCTGAATGATGTAATGAAGGCAGCGCGCCGCGCATCTGGCCCATAGAAAAGAGATCACAGTTGCATTCTCTTGTTTATGGACTCTTGGCGGTAGGTACAACAATGCACTTTCAAGCAGCCAAGTTGTTTTCTGCACTATATCTCACATTTTATGCACTTTTCTCGCAGTGCTTTCCATGATCCTGTAGGTTTTTTGAACAGTCCGACTCGTACTACTCCCAAGGAGATATACGATGCAACTAATTTCGTGATTTGGCCCAAATCCGCAATTTTCTGTAAATAATTCCGCGAATTCCTGGCAAGTTCTGCATCATTCTGCACTTTTCGTCGCATTTTTGTTGTTTTCTGCCGCAATATCTTGCGCAAGTTTTTGAGAGTTTTCCGCAAATTCCCGCAGGGAAAGTCTATGCATGCATATGCGTGCATGAAAACGGTCAATGCGAAAGGGATGAATCAGGGAGTAGTAAAATACCGGTATTTTTCTACTCCCTGGCCTGAATATATGAACATGTGACCATGTACATACTGTATGTGTGACCCTATCTTCGGAAATAAAAAAATGTGGGAAAGAAACTTAAAAATCGCTCGCTCGCACCGATTTTCACGGGCGCATGACCTGAGAATAAACTTTGACTTTTACCATGGCCTAGGGAGACCTTTTAGCCTCCCAAATTGGCTGGTCTGTTGCCTCTGGGCATGGAAATTCTGTCGTTACGCGGGAATTGTTCTTATATGCGCAGCCGTTATTAGCCAAGATGACTGTATGCCATGTATTTCTCGTTTTTATTTCTCTAACTCGTTTGCCGACAGATGCGTTAGCCCATGGCAGATCTCACCCATGGGGTACATACCAGCTGTTATTCTTATTCTTATTATTGTTACCTCAACTCAACAACTTAAGTAGAACGGTCTCTTTGTTGCATACGCAAACTAACAGTTATTCACCAAATTTCCGGGCATGGCCGACCTTCAGGGTGAAAGCCGTTTGGACTTAAGTATAACTAGCCATACTACTACCAGTAATATTACTGTGGATGACTTTTTATTCCTTGGATTTGAGTGAATAAGGTCAAAAAGAGACTCGAGGGTCATACACGTTCAGAGAAATTCCCTAAACTATAGTCTTGACAGGACAGTGCCCTACCCAACAGGTGCTAAATGCCTATGAACAGTTAATTATTGCATTGATTCCGTCTTTCAGTGTTAAAGACTCTGTGACTTGGACTGATGTGCGGGTTGGATTGAGCAGAATTTGTAGATGTGTGCCAATAGAAACTTTGGCTAGGCATGTTTGCGTGTTTGCAATACTGCGCTACAGTAGCAGCACTCTTGTGTAAGTGCAGATAATTTCCCTTTTCGGGGTTTCAGTATCACTGCGCTCTTTTGCCGTGCACATGTCAGTGACGAGGGCTGGCAATGTATAGTGTGATTTCTTCGTGATATTCGTGATGATGTGCTCTCCACTGCATTCTCGATGGCAATGATACAGCAGCAGCAGCAGCCGCAACAACAGCAGCAGCCGCAACAACAGCAGCAGCCGCAACAACATCAACCGTCACAACAGCAGCAGCCGCCACAACAGCAGCAGCTGCGGCAACCTCCCTTACCGCCGGCAGCAATCTATACCAGTCGCAGTATAGTAACACGCCAACGGCATCCTCCGCCAGTGGATTGAGTGGCGCAGCAGTTTACGCTGATAGAAGCTCTTCAAACTATCATCTTGGCAACAGACCGGTGCAGCAAGGTCACACATCTTACTCTGGATCTTCTGTGAAGGCACTGTCGGGACCCCAGAGCAGTGTGAGTAGACAGACACACATATTCACGCACGTGCGCGCGCGCACACACACACACACACTGTGCTTGCTCACTGCCAAAGTTGGTCACGTGGGTCTCCCCGGGAGAGGGGAGAGAGAATCTAAAGAAATCTTGGAAAGATGACTCAACTGGCTATTGAACCGCGCAATGGCCGACACCCCCTGAAATCCCCAGACTAGGGTGGACTGGAAATGATTCCTTTTATGGGACCACCACAAATCAGTAAGAGGGTGAGTACAAGGTGCAGAGGGATTGGCGGCATCAGGGTATCCGTCCCGGGATCCAAATGCAGTTGCCCCTGCCCCCAGTGAAGGTAATACTTGCTACTAGTGTGGGTGGCTAAATCAGAGTGGATCTGGTACTTGGTCCGCGTCAGCGATATTGTCGCTTTCAGCTTTGTTTTTATGTCGCCAATGCTCACTTGGCAGCCCATTTCATCCCAATTTTGGTTAGTAAGTTAGTTTACTAGTACCTGAAAGATCTAGCTAGATTTCGAGTGGATTTCGAGAGCGACAAGTGGGTGGTTTTGATAGATTCAGCGCTGCAACAAAATAGATGATCTTGTTACGCTGTGCAGGCAAGAGCGCAAGCGCAAGCCACAAAAAAGAAATCGACTACTCGGAATCAGCTCCATTTTGCTGAACGGCCGAGATCGCTCACCTCAGGGATCGCTCGTCAAGCTGAGATCGCAGCTCCCTTACCTCCAGCTCAACACCCGGAGTATCCAGCGCGACAATGAGATTTGCAAGTACTGTACACGTCGTCGTCGTCGTTCAAAAATAAAAAATCTTACATAGAACGACGTTTGATTAGAACCACACAGGCTGTCGTGCTGCCCACGCGAAGTCCTATAGAGAAGGCGACCGTCACGATCGACTTCTCTTTAGAAAATAGCCAGGCAGCGGAGAGGAAGAGAGATGAGCTTGCAAAAGCAAGAGAGTCAATCCCGAGCAAAAATATTTGTCACCAGCGCCGAGAGCAGAGAGGAGGAGGACCGAAAAATGTACGAACCCTTCCTTGGACAATAAATTCCTCATAGCTAGTTGTCATTCTATACCTTACCTTCCATCGTACCACGTTTTATCACTTCAAGTGCACGCGTTGATGTCCAAAGTCTAAGTTCAAATTGTCGAAAGATAAGCGACAATATTGCTGATTAGACTGGAGTTAATCTAGCCAGAAGCAGTCCATGGTTAACAGGTATGTACACTTGATGTACTTCAAATAGAAAGTATATGAACCCTGAAACCAACAAAGGTGGTAGTAAGAGTGCATAAACAAGAGTATGCAACTGTGGTTATGGGTCAGTGCGCGGCGCGCTGCCTTTATTACGTAACTTGCCTTCATCACGCTCTGAAAGCATGCATTCAAACTCACAATTTCTCGTACGAGCCCACCGGTTTTTTTGCTCGATTCGTTCCAGTACCTACGCGATCTCTAAATTCTGGCGCGTGAACTCCAGTTCCGTACAAAAGCTCATTTCAAACCAGAGGATAAGTGGGGTGTTTGATTTTCCGCAGTGCGCGGACTGCAGCTGAATGATGTAATGAAGGCAGCGCGCCGCGCATCTGGCCAATAGAAAAGAGATCACAGTTGCATTTGTTTATGGACTCTTGGTGGTAGGTACAACAATGCACTTTCAAGCCGCTGAGCCCAGTTGTTTTCCGCACTATATCTCACTTTTTTATGCACTTTTCACGCAGTGCTTTCCATAATCCTGTAGGTTTTTTGAACAGTCCGACTCGTACTACTCCCAAGGAGATATACGATGCAACAAATTTCGTGATTTGGCCCAAATCCGCAATTTTCTGTAAATAATTCCGCGAATTCCTGGCAAGTTCTGCATCATTCTGCACTTTTCGTCGCATTTTGTTGTTTTCTGCCGCAATTTCTTGCGCAAGTTTTTGCGAGTTTTTCCGCAAATTCTCGCAGGGAAAGTCTATGCATGCATATGCGCGCATAAAAATGGTCAATGCGAAAGGAATGAATCAGGGAGTAGTAAAATACCGGTATTTTTCTACTCCACGGCCTAAATATATGAACATGTGACCATGTACATACTGTATGTGTGACCCTATCTTTGGAAATTAAAAAATGTGGGAAATAGAATAAAAAATCACTTGCTCGCACCGATTTACACAGGCGCATGACCTGAGAATAAACTTTGACTTTTACCATGGCCTAGGGAGACCTTTTAGCCTCCCAAATTGGCTGGTCTGTTGCCTTGCGTTTTTGAGTTGTAGTTAGACCGGCTTGTCCAATGCCAAATGCAATGGTCTTACTAGTCTCAACATCATCACCCCGTAGTGTTCGTCATTCTTTGTTTGCGAGGGACATAGCTGGTGCAAATCTTTGTGGCGCATTCCTTCCCCTCATTGGAACTTTCCGCACCTGAGCCTTTCCCAGTTGGAAGGTTTTTTTTGCGGTGTGGACAAAATGTGTCATGGGTATGGGTATGGGTGGTGATCAGATTGCTAGCTTTGTTGCCGTACTTCCCGGCTTGTTGCATTCCGGGTGTGCAAGCTCCACTTTCTCATGTTTTCCTTCTGTCTGTCTGTGGCTCACATCTCATTGTTCTCTCTCTCTCTTTTGTCTCACTGTCTGTCTGTGACTCTCATCTCATTGTTCTCTCTCTTTCTCTGTCTGTCTGTCTGTCTGTCTCTTTTTCTTTCTCTTTCTGTCTCTCTCTCTCTCTCTATCTCTCTCTCTCTCTCTCTATCTCTCTCTCTCTCTCTCTCTCTCTCTCTCCAGGTGAAAACAAAGGATCTAGGGCTGAGCTTGTGAAGCGGCGTAAGGAAGAGAAAGCCAAGAACCGGGGAATTAGCTCTGCCGCTGTTGGGTCTGATCTAGGACTTAGCTCTGCCTCTGTTGGGTCTGATCAGGGTATTAGCTCAGCCTCTGGTGGGTTTGATCAGGGAATTAGCTCTGCCTCTGGCGGAAATGATCATTTCGAGGACTCCCACGACGATGACAGTTCCGGCGGCGGACAGGGTGCGGGAATATAACGAATTGAATACAATGACTTTGAGGTACGTGCCATGACAGTGTGTCTGCTGGCATCGTGAGTCGGTCTCACCGACAGGCTGCTGTGCCTCAGACTGAGTAAGAATATCTGGGCTGCTGGCTGCAGATGCGCGGGCATGATGTGAATGTCGATGCTATGAACAAGATGAGCTCGTTGAGTTGTCGACTACATTACCTTCTTAGCTTCTCAAAATCGCGTGCAGCAATGCTGGGAGAATGCTGTTCAATGGCCTACAGACTTAGTCAAGACTCAGCACCATCGAGTTTGTCACATTCTCTTACTAAGGCAACTTCAGAGTATAATGCAAGAAATTTGGACCTTTAAAACTCTGCACTTTCAGACTTTATTTTTGTCCAGTGTTTCGTCCAGTGTTTGGTCCAGTGTTTTTGTTCAGTGTTTTGTCCAGTGCGTGTGTGCTCCAGCAATGCTTGTTCTCCAAGCTGGTATATTCCTATTGCTGCTGCTGCTATCAAGAAATGTGCCCTGTAAATATTCTTCATATTTCACTCCTCATGCTAGGGCTATATTGACTGTTTGTATTTGACTCCTTTTTAGGGATCAAAAGACATGGTTTGGGTTGTCATGACAACAATCTAGTATTGACTTTGTTAAAAAAAAGTAAAATTCGCACTTCCGCGTTACCACCGGCTATGCAATTCAATTGTATTGAGAGACACAACCGGCTTAGGAAGTTTTGCATGTGCCAGGCCCCAGTGACCGGCAAGGGGGCGAACCTCGCTGCCTTCGTACTGATCAGTATCTAATATTGACTGAGTACGAGGTCAATATAGGAAATAAAAGCCGAGTAAAAGACCGAGACGAAGCTGAGGTCTTTTACGAGGTCTTTTATTTCCTATACTGACCAAGTACGAAGTCGATATTAGATTTTTGACGACTAGCCAATGCCTGTGTTCAATAGCTAAAAAGGAGTCAAATATAAGCGGTCAATATACATGTAGCCCTAAGGAATGAAATATGCAGGAATATTTGACTGCTTAGGTATGGCAAAAATCTATGGGAGTCAACACTAAGGGAGTGATAAATATTATAATTATAGGCTTTTCCGCGTTGGCATGGCCAAAGCAAGCTTGCAATGGCTAGCCTTCGCATAGGTCTACGCTGCTCCATCATGACGTGACGAAGCAATGAATGCTCGTAAAATTATTATACGATCTAGGACAGAACCAAACCAAGTCAATAAAAGAAAATATAAAGTCATCAGTTGCCATCAGTTGCCAGATGATCGTACGAGCGACGCTAGTAGTAATACGTAAAACTCAAGAGTTGTGACACAGCTTCCAATCTCTCTTGCGTACTATAAGAAAATAGAAACCTCGTAAAAGACCCCGGTTTCACCTCTTTCTTTTACAGTACTCGGCTTTTTCATATGGATAGCGGCAAGGGCTGGATGAACAGCGGTATTGGCCGAGTATGAGTAACTGGAACGTGTCTCCCGTGTGCACCCAAGCCAAAGGCAAAGAGCATGCATGCACCCAAGTAATATTTTTTAAGCCTCTTATTCGGGCAATCACAGAACATGATTTCACTGGCCTGACGCAACAACTACAAAGCAAAACAAAACAAAATAATTAACCGCAATCAATAAAATTAACTGAACCGACATTTGTGTACTTTATTCATGCAATGTAAAAACGGTGGAGACGATGTGCAATAAAACGATGAAAATATGAAGAAATGGTGTAGAGAAAAAAATATGGATTCAAACAAGTTCGTACAACACTCATCAGGAATCGTCGTTGTACTAAAGGACACTGAAACAAAAATTGAACTATTATAGAAAATCTAAGTTAGAGAAATAACACTAAGAACAAAAGCAGTGAAATTTACAAGTGTGAATTTTAACAATCAAAGCGAGAAATGAGCAAACATGATTGTTTTATTGCACATCGTCTCCACCGTTTTTACATTGCATGAATAAAGTACACAAATGTCGGTTCAGCTAATTTTATTGATTACGGTTATCAAATTATTGTCTCCTCGCCGTGTGTTTAAAAAAATTAAATAAAAAGAAAATGAAACTTTACAATCTGCACACAATGACAACTCCATTTTTAAGATGGTCTCTGTTGATCAGTCGGTATCCGTTACCCGTGTTAGCTAGTTGCCAACAAGGGGGGGGGGGGGGGCTTCGGCAACAGGAACATCTGGAGAGGCGTCATCCATCCCCCTATGCCCGGGAAATGGTGAGCGCCCCCCCCCCCCCCTCAGACACATGATGTTAGCACGCAGTAAAGGAAAGGCTCTGGATAAGCGAGATTTGGGTATGATACCCAACCGATCCACGCTCCTCCATAATGACAGCAAGTCGCCGATAGAACGCAATAGCAGCACTGCCCATACCACCAGTTGTTGCCAGGACAAGTGGAGTGTTGTATTTGTATTGTATTTATTTAAAAGAATTCTCCAAAAGCAAATGGATGCTCATCATGGAAGTCTCCTACATAAATAGATGAAGAAAAATGGGGAAATGGGGGAGAGGAGAGGGGAAGATGAAGCATGGGAAGAAGGGAAAAAAGTACCTAAATATCGAGGTATAAAAGCAGGAAAGAAATCGACGAGAGAAGAGCGAATGTGTTCTGGAAGTTTGTTCCATTCCACAGATAATCTGAAGAGAGGGGATTTCAGGAAATGGGCGCCAGAACGAGGTAAAACTATAGAGGATGGGTGACCACAACTAAGAGATACATTGGATTTGAAACGAATTAGCAAAGACGGAAACTGGTAAAAGACATGATGAAAATACGCAAGGACAGAATCTGACGACGCCACTTCAGGTATGACCAGAGTGAAACCCGACATCTCCACCTCTCGCACTCGTTCAGCATAATGGCGTCGCTTCTCAGCTTCGTGCTTGTTGAAGGCAGATTGGATGTGGGCCGACCGGTTCGAAGCTGCATATGGGTTGAATATACATGTACTTACATCAAAAAAGCAGCGTTCAAACCGTCCGCCCCACACCCCGCCAGCCACAATGTCAAGCCGTGCCTGGTCAGTTGATATTGCCGTCCGATGGCGAAACCGCTCACCAGTGACTGGCTGAAGATGAGGCTCCACCGCAACGGAAAATTGTGCCACTCTCCGGAGCATGCTGGCGGTGACGTCACGTACCTCATTGTGGCGCAATGTTGGAAAGCCACCCTTTGGGCAAGATAAGGCGTGGCACAGTTACTGGGAAGACCAGTCAATGGCCAGCCATACCGAAGGGCAATGCCGTCTCGGAACTCACCCTTGGTCAGAGCGAATCCTTGGTGCTTCATCGGTCGGCACGTCAGCCAACTGGACGCTCCTGGCTGGGAGGCCAATTTGCCAGAATAGGAGAGTTCTGCCGGTGCCGCCGCAAGGAAATCAAGCACATTGCTCTTCATAGAACGTCTGTTCGCTGCCGACAACTTGCGCTTCGCGGAACGAACACAATCCAACGAGTCGCCAAGGGGAGCCTGAGAACAGATGCGTTCCACCAGAGGCGCTGTAATGGTCTTCGAAGTTGTGTACTGGTGGTTGAGAGTGGTGGGGACTACAATTCTCAAGCCACCATGGCGGCAAGGAAAGGAAACCATTTCTCTCTCCATTTCATTAGGGTGGCATCCAGTCACCATTGGGAGGAGCTTGTGATGAGTAGCCTCCTCCAACGGCTTGAGGGCTTCTGCAGCACCCTCCACCGTCCGGCAAAGAAACGTCCATTTACTCTGCAGCCCATTCACCAAAGCATGGTTGGCTGCCTGCGGCTGCGACTCAGCAAACTCACACAACTTGTTCAACTGCCCTAGGAATCCACTCAGCCTGTCAACCAGGTATTCCTCGATGAACGGAGCAGTGCCGAGGGCTACGCCAAGATGACGACAGCCATCCATCCTCACCTGAACGGCTGTGTCAGCGAAGAGATCAAGCGTCTCATGATACCTGTCTGGCTTCACCAGAAGTATCGACTTGGTTGGATTCAAATGGTACCCGTAAGCTTCCCCAAGGCTGCTCAGAGAGTCCCACCACGCACGAACTGCCCGCAATCGGCCTGCTCCGGAAGAATCATCCGCAAACCATGTTTGGATGATGTCAGCCATTGAGATGCCCTCAATCAACGGCAGCACCCCCAGCCCATACAAGGCCATTGATAAGAGATCTCCCTGCGCGATACATTCTGATGAGTGCACAGTCTCACCATCAACATACAGACGGGCGGGAATACGGTATGTGTTGATGACAGCGGTAGAGAGAGAAGGGCATGAATGACGTATATTTTGTAGACATGTTGAGTCCGAAGAAGGACGACTGACGACATCTTCTCCAGACATTACAACGGACAACGGGAACAAGTTACGGGAACAAGTTATAAGGAATGACATTTATTATAGACGACGAGACAAGAGACCAGGACGAACGGAACGACTACATTGAAGAGTGAGAAAGAGATAATCTGACGAGAGCGAGCTTATTAAAGAGAGAGAGAGCTCGACTGAGAAACAACGCAATATAAAGGGCCTGGGTAGCTATGGCAAACATGGGCGCGCAAGTAGCTCCCCAGGCCTACGGAACGAAAGGTGAGTATGACGTACTGAAGTAGTACAGGTGGAGGTACCTAACAGACAGCATCCGCGATTCAGTCTATTAAATGCATTTGATGCATTAGCCAGCAAAATTCCCTCAACTTCCGACGATTGAAAGACACCACACGTTACATGAATTGCGGCCTTGACACCGCATTCCTGACCGGCACAAAGCTGTATAGAACCTGCGACTTCCTGGATTTTATTGCCAAGGACACCCATAATCGCTTTCCCGATTATGCGTGGCATTACCTCACCTATCCCGATGGGCCTCGCAGCTGGATTTTTGTCCAGAGGTATGAGCCTGCAAGCGGTGTAGGCTTCTTAACTGACTGGATCAACATAAGCGGTAGCGATGCGAATGGCACACACGGCGACAGCATCACATAAACCATCATATGCCTGACCGAACGAAGTGAGCATACGCCGCCAGATATCAGCATCCACTCCAGACGGTCCAGCAGCTCCCTCGACCCTCAGAGCAGTTCGTCGAATGCTATCTCTTGTTATGGCTGCAAATAGAATTGGATGTGGGGGCTGTGGCGGGGCACCATCAGGTACAGATCCGGGCTGGATAGGTGCTGCCTCCGGGTGTTTACCCTTCAGAATATCACGCATCGTTTCACCATCAATTTCGTCGTCAAGCCGCAGTACACCTCCCCGCTCGTTACTATCCAGCATTCGCCAAGCCGACTTGAGTTTGCCTGATGTCACGCTCGATGCAAAATCCCTGGCAGTATCATTCATATTGGAATGAGGAGTTCTTTTTGCCCAATCATCCCGCTGCTGGTGGATTGTTCTGCACTCGTGAAGGAGCTCCCGAGCCTCGCCCCGGTTCCATAGCTCCATACGACGTTATAAACATGCTGCTGCAGAGTCAGGCCTCACGCCACATGGTTTCTGTAACAAGAGCTGTTGATATACCATGGCGACCTTTATAGCAATTCCTTCGTAAGGCCTGGCACGACCGAAACCGGATAGGTAAGTTGTTAGTTATGTCACGAAAGAGTTACCCACACCTCCTGTTGGTACTTGGGAAGCATTGGGGCGAAAATAAACAAGTTCATCATAGGTATTCTGAATCAATCCGCCGTTCATTCCAGCTTGATGTGAGAGAGGGCGAAGAAGCCAAACCTAGAGCAGAACCGAGGGACTGGGATGCCAGGTTGCAACACGTCTCCGGGGGCAACGTCACACGGAGCACATCGGCACCAGACACCATGTCATGACGGGATGCTGGTTGCCGTGGGAGCAAATCGTCAGGCGCCATAGGAGGAGAATCCACCACAGACGGCGCTGCCACGACGGAAGCAGAGTCACGACTAGCAGACTCAGCAGGCATTGACAAATCATGGGTAGGGCGATGCACAGAATCAGCCGCCTGAACAGCAACACCAGATACATCGCCCACTCTCATCTGGTTGTTAGACGCATTATGTTGGGTTATGATAGTTCGATCTCAAATCAGACGATGGGTGAGTGCATGGCACGTCCGTTCCAGCACACGAGCCTCCAGCACTCCGTGACCCCACATTCCGGGGAACCCAGCCAGGAGGCGCAGATTGCACATGAGCATCACCAACAATAATAATTATTGTTGTAGTTCGAAGATCAGAATTGCCAAAATTTCGACAACGATTATCTTGACCAGGACCACAGCACCTGCCCGCAGCAGCACAAGAGCAGGAGTGACAGGTCACAGGTGCCCCTGCTACATAAGCAACATGGGCGAGTGCCATGAACCTGCGACATCCCCACTGCCGATTACCACCGGTGCACCGCATCCAGTTGACTAAAGACTTTAAGTGACAGTGCATACACGGGCACGGCCAGAAGAAGGCGCGAAGAGACGTGAGGTGTGAAGAGTAGGTCGCAGCGCACGTCAGTCGTCACAGGCCACGCGGGATAGCACCCAGCCGCAAAGCACAACACTGCATGCCAGCTCATCCAAGGCCCAAGGCGAAGGCGCCGAAAACGACCCGAAACCACGGCACAATGGCCGGTTCGCCAGATAACAAGAAACCAGCTGGAGTGGAGGGAGGAATAGAGGACTGGACAACTCCACATCGTTGAAAACTACTGGGGCTGACTCCTGAAGCCTAGAAGAAAGTAATGAAGTAGGTTAATACAGTCCTCCCTCTCTAATCCGGCACCTTTTGCTACGGCGTTTTCTGCTGGATTAACGAGGGTGCTGGATTAAGAAATCCTGCCCTCTGACCCGGCCCTACCCAATTGCATGCATGTATCATATGTACGTCAAAACGCAGGGTTTTTCCGTGTCGACCCAAGTATTTGGTGCACGGCTTTATATTCTCAATTGTTCTCCGGAAATATACACAGTGATAAAGTGATAAAGTAAAACAGAGAACATGTTCACATGTACTCTTGCACACACACGCACACACACACACACACACACACACACACACACACACACACACACACACACACACACACACACACACACCTGAAAATTGGCAGGACACTACGAGTCGTAGGCATCTACTCCTTGCTAAAAGAAAGTATGGTTGACTGCCGTTGTCTCCTGGAGTCCTGGACAACATTGACCAGACTGGCCTAGCCTGGCCTGGCAAGGAGTGCATCTGTACGGTACGCGATTTACGACTGCCGGATTATGAAATCAAACTACGTGCAGTTTGAGCGATTCGTTTCAAAAAGTCACTGCCGGAGGCGGAATTCAAGTGCCGGATTAAGATGTAGGAATTGAACGAAAAAAATCGGTTTCGTCAGGAAGTGCGCCGGTTGGCAAGGGTTCCGGATAAACAAGTGCCGGATTAGAGAGGGACGACTGTAACCGGTTGACTGGGATAGTGGATAAAAGAATTAGAAAAACTGCGGAGGAACAAAATCTCCATCCGAACGCTGCCAATCTAGAGTAGTAGCACCCGAGTAAAACGGAGTAATACTCACTAGTAGTAATACTAATAGTTCCAGAATACTGTCCAACCCGGTACCCGGGAACCGTCCCGACCTTGTCTGGACAGTCCAGATTTGAGAGACGTCCTGCGTCCTGCCAAGGTCCTACAGTGCTGTCAACTGAAATCCGACCCCCCCCCCCCCGCTAGCGGTGCGCTAGCCGCGTTAGCGATTCGTAATAGACGGTAGGGGGTCGGATTTCACTTGCAAGCACTGTAAGCGCTAGCTTCCTGGAAATGTGATGTAGGCTTTGCGCAAAAGCAGGCCACTGTACTACTAGTAGACCTACTAGTGGCTTTCCATGTGACTACAGACTAGCTACTAGTATAATAGTACTTGCTTCGATACCTCACTCACTGACTCAGCCACTGTCCTCAGGCGCTTTGTGTAAGACTCAGCAAGCACGTACATGGAAGAGCGAGCACGCAGTCGTTGCTCTGCATGGCGTGTCGCAGAAAAGGCAAAAGATTGAGAATCTGGCTCCCCCCCCCCCCCCCTGCTGCCTTTCCCTTTTCGCATTTCGGCAAATTCCCTTGCCTCTCTCTCAAGTTATTGTTGTTGTCGTCGTACTTTTATTCCAAAGTCGCATCAGAAACAGGCGTCTATGTGTCCTGAGATTTTTACGGCTAGCAGTGTAATATTTTACTATGACTATAGTATGAGGAAAAAGGAATGGAACGATTGTTGACTAGCAGAGGATGCCATGGTGATACATTTACGGAAATTACGTCAAAGTACTGTAAGTCTGGCCTTACACTTTGAGCAAACCAGAGTACGTGGAAGACATAGCGATGGGTGAACCTGAAAGCCACAGAAGTAAGTCAGTAACTACTGGATGCAGGCTAGTCGAAGTGATGAACGAATAATGAATAAACACGAACTCTCTGCAGCACATGCTACAGAAAATCAGATCTCTATCTTTCACTGCTCAGAAGTGCTAAAATAATTGGTGCTAACTGGAGAGTTAGAAAGAGGCGCAGATACCACAGTCAGGGAGAGGAGGAGAAGGGGGGGGTGCGAGCACAACAGGCATAATATCACCAGTAGTAAGATAGAGCTTGTCTCCAAATGTTTCCACATGAGCAAAGTGCTGCTGCTATCACACTTCAGTATCATCACATGTTGCAGCACATTGTAAGCTAGCAGTAAAAGGTGAAAGTAAGCGTGTGCTCGCACAACCTAGCTGTGTAACCTGCGCCTCCTCTACTACCCTCCATTTTACACCAATTATTTTAACACTTTTGAGTAGCACCATACCAGCAGATGCATTCACAAGCTAGCACCGATCCCCCCACCCCTGGCCTAGGTTCTCACCTACCTGTTCACGTTTAGTAACTTGCTGCTTAGGCCTGGCGCCATACTGGACCAGTTTACTGTATAAAATGGGATACTGCAGGCATTTTCTATCTTTTTAGTCACCTTTTGGTTGCCAGCTGGGCAAAAAATTCCAAGTTGTGATGTCTTGTTATCCTTAATTGCAAGGACCTAAATGATTTTTGTGATATGTCTGATAATAATGATACGGTAAGTGTTACCTAAATATCCACTAGTTGGAACCGTTTAAATATGTACTCCAGGTCTCTATGTGCATGGTGAATATTTTTCTGAAAATATTCTTTCATTTAACTCTTGCAAAATATGTGCATGATGATATGAATGCTCAACTAGCATCATTTATTGTGTTGAATCCTGTTATTGGTGATCTCTCTGTTCCTTGTAGAGACTTCCGGCCCGGCCTAGCGATCCGCCGCTGTGTTCGAAGGTGTCGCAAGACCAAAGTCAAATCGCCACGTCAACGCTCCAGTCCCCCGTCTCCAGTGTCTTCGACTCGCTGCTGTCCCAGCCTGAATCCCGGGAGCAACCCCAGGAGCAGCCACAGCCAGCGAACCAGCAACGCCATCAGCAGCAACAGCAGCAATGGCCTTCCCGGACAAGCATGGACCCAAGTCAAGCTCTGGTTGGCACGTTGGCGAGTGGTGGTAATTCTGCCGATGCTTTAACGCAGCCCACTAATAATATCACTGGCAGTGGCTCAATGACAACACCGGTGAGTTTTGTAGCAAGAAGGACCCACGGGTGTGTGTGATCCTCTTAGTCTAAAGCCTAATCGGTAGGGCACTGTCCCGGAAAGACAGGGGGGCTGGGTTCGAATAGGGCTTGAAAGTGCTACGTCACAGCATAGAAACAATTTCAAAAATTGGACCCACATGGATCGAGTTCTTGTATGGATACAAGCGGTCATACTCACAGCAAAGAGATATAGCCTGTGAAATTGACTGGGTTGTCTAATGGGCGTCGGATGACAATTGGTGACGAAGAAGAGTCACACCTGCATACGACATGAGTGGGTTACTATACACCCACACACTGAGGTTATAGAAAAGTTACACTTTAGAGGATCCAAAAGTAGAAATCTGACGTGAACTTACTACTCCCTGACCGTTTTGACGTCATCACTTTCAAGCCCTATTCCGCCCGTGGATCTTTCTTTTGCAACATTGGCGCCAGGAAATGGCCTATCGTACCCCTTACCATTCGACTCAGCACCTTGAAGACTGCAACTGGTGAAATTTGATTTTAGGCTTACCGTAATCTCATGCATTTAAGGACATGTTCTTATTTTCGAATATCTCTTAATTTGCTAAATCCTATATATAGGATTTTGGTCATATTTTTCAACTCAAAATGGGTGTGGCATGAGAATAGCAAAAAGTATGTGACCAATTCTTTCTTGCTAGGTCTTAGTATATATCGAGAGTTGAATAAGATAGTTTTTTCAAATACTAACATCTCAGGCTCATCTCCTTGCCCAATATTACTAAGGCCTGTGCCCTATTTTTCGAATCCCATATCTAGGATTTGAGATTTTATTGGACCTTGTTTTATCCTTAAAACTGGTAGTTTCATGACGGCATGTGCGATATGTCGTCATGAAACCACCCCGTGCCACCCCTGCAATGTTCTTCTGCACATTCACTGCTTCAGTCCTATCCATGACAGCAGCTGAACAATTATGCTCAAATTTCCAATTCTTGCTGAAAATGGGTATTCATCAGAAATATTTTCGCCCTATGAATCTAAAATGTAAACATTCATGCCTCAAACATATTTGGGCCAGTGCATGCAATACCGTGTCTAAGGGCAAATTTTTGGAAATTTTTTTCTTTCTTGAAAATCAATCACAGGGGTCTAGAGAACACCTCTGTGGAAGATAAAGTTGGATATCACATTTGAATGTACATAGAGAACATGATTTCTATGGCATTGTCCAACTCAGTTAGAATATGCCTTGTATAATGTATCATCTACAGTGTCGCTGAAAGCAGCAACAGTTTTGCGTATCAGCCTCTAGCATTGGCCAAGACATTCAATGAAGGCTGCCTTGTTCTCCGGTCAAAACCGGGCAACATTGTCCAGCAAGTTCTTGCGGCGTTGAGCTAACAAGAACTCGCGTTATTTTTGTGCAAAGACAACAATGGTCACGGAGTGGTTCTGTTGCAGAATTCTTTTCATCCTATGCACGAGGAGAACGAATATCGTCCCGGAGCAGCTCACACTTGTTGCACACATCCATTCGTCGCGTCATGAACTCGATGGACTTGAACTTCTTAGTCCACAGATACAACAAATATACGGTAACCCAGGGTTTGCGCTTCACCAGACTGCATGTTCCGAAAGGACAAATTTGTAGGCGACAGATGTAGGTAAGTTTATGGGAGATTCCTCACATCTCCCTCTTGGTGCAGCAGACAGAGGGAGACTGAACACTAAGCTGTAGTTCAGAATAAACTGCTGCGCTCTGTCTCCCACTTCTGCACTAAATTATTCCAAGGCACATTGCCAGATTTTCATGTGCACCAGGGTGACAGCTATTGTTCTTCTTGTCCACTTGTACACACTCATGTTCTGCCAACCACATGGAGCTGCATAAACGCGGTTCCACACACGATGTATCCCATAACAGTTTATCCAAACGTGATGCACGTCCGTTCCGTTGCGGAAGCTGTCGACTGATGCACGACAGTCGACAGGATCGTCATGCGTGCAGCGCAGCCAGCACACCAATATAAAAAATGACGAGGTCCTTCGATTTCATCGCCGAGATTTAGTCGTCGTAATGGAGGATTGCGCTCGACGTGAAGCTTCTGAAATGGTAGTTCCGAATGCAGCCAAAGCCTTCAAGAATCAGCGAGTTCACAGCGGCAATGCTCTGAAGCGCTTCCTGCTCATCGTCGCTTGCAGAGTCGACAGAATCTCCACCTAATTCATCCGCTCTCGACTCGCCTTCAACCTCAACGCGGGAGTCTTTCACTCCCGGACGCGTAGTTGGGGCTTCGTCAGAGTCAGTGTGAGCAGTACAGCTGCTAGTTGCCGACTGCTCCGACTCTCGACTCGCCAAATAAATTGTCGTCTTCCTCCTCGATAGTAAACCTTGTCGATCTCTTAGGACGCGCCGACGATAGTCACGCGAGCGGTACAGCTCAACTGACGTGCTGCTCGGCGTTTGCCACGAGTGTGTCTACTGAGAGGCCCTTCCTCAAGTACTACTTCCAAATCCTCCTGCGCCGCCACGTCCATGATGATTGCTGCAAGTCGATCGCTTGTCGCTTCTCTTGTCGTCTTGAGATCGATTACGGATGTAATGTAGACAAGATCCGCGATCGAGCCACAAAAAAATATAACTCTTCTTTCCGAGCGATTTTCTCAAACTTCTGAAAGAAATAGGTTTCCCCGAAGACACGTTTTCGCATGCACTGGCCCATTTACAACTTCTATGAAAACCATTATGCCGTTATTATTGGTTGTAATGACCAATAACAAAGGCATAAAAGGCACACATTTCCAAATCCTATATATAGGATTTTTGGCCAGCAAATTAAGGGATAAGAGCACTTTCGCTTATAAGAACGTGCACATATACATGAATGAAAATCACAGAACCACACGTGGTTCATCATGATTCCATTGTACGGGCATTGATATGCGTACTTTCACTGTTGCACATGTTTGTGTCGATGCGATGTTTGTCTCTCTCATAATTATATGACCATGGTCTTGTAATCAAAACAAAAATGCAGACCTCTCGATTCTAATAAAGACCATGGTCTTATATGCACGAGATTACGGTAAAGTCTCCTTTATAATACTGTCTCTTCGCTGCATACGCAAACTAACAGTTATTCACCAAATTTTCAGGCATGTCCGATGTTCATATCGTCAACTTGGGCGATGCTTATACGTCTAGCTTATGGGACGAAGTATTCTGCTCAACGAGACCGCGCCATACAACAAAAGGCCAAGTTACTTTAGTTTATAGAGCGAGATTTCTCTTCTTGCTTTGATGAGACGACGAGACAACTGACACTGAGACAAGGCAAGACAAGGGAATATTATTGTGAAGACGCGAGGAAAAGTGGGGCGGTGGGAGTGAAATTGGTGCCTGTGCGTAATACAACCAGTCCCGAACTGAAAAGGGAGACAAAGACGGCAGACGATTAAGAGACAAGAGACAAGACGGAAACCGGACGAATACAACGGAGACAAGACGAGAAAATGCGTATACAACGGGGACAAGACGAGAAAGAGTGCATACGGACGGTGCAGCCGCATGTACAGATTATTCGAAGACAGCCAGCAGCGTGTACCACAGGTCAGCAGCATGTACAACAAAGAGACACAAACGCAGCAGCATGTACAACAAAGAGCTACACGCGCAGCCACGTGCACAACGAAGAGCTACAAGCGCAGCCACATGTACAACACTATCCCATATCGAAAAAAAGATATCCACTCCTGTAGATGGAAGCAAACAAAATTGAAGTTATTAAACAAAACGGAAGAAGACTGCTGAGAAAGACGTGGGAATTTAAATGTGAAGCAACATAAAAGGGCGACAACAAAAGACAAAGTGTACGGGGCCACAACTGTTGAACACATGACTAGTAGTCCAGGAGGGTTAACAGTTAACACCAGTCGGGAGCCCCGCAAAACTGTGCAACTATCAATGGAACCTGCAAGCAAGAGATGGCACTTTCTCGGTTTGATTTTGAGTTTAGCTCGTCGTAATGCAGTTATGTAGAGCATGAGGCTCTTCATCTCAGGGTCGGCGAAGCCCTGCCATGCACTAACTATATGTGCATATGTGCATATACACAATCTTGCATTGATTCCATATGGAGGCTTGTGATGGTTGGATTGAGCAGAAATTGTAGATGTGTTCGAAAGGAGACTATAGCTAGGCATGTTTGTGTGTTTGGAATACTGGGCTACAGTAGCAGTACTCTTGTGCAAGTGAAAATCATTTCCCTTTTCGGGTCTCTGAATCACTGTGTTCTTTCGCCATGTCATTGACGAGGGCTGGCAATGTGTTCTTTAATTTCTTTGCTACGTTCTTTATAATGTGATCTCCTTGAAGCAGGCCCATGGGTTCACTGGTTCCTGGATGACAGGGATGTTGCAACAACAGCAGCAGCCGCAACAACAGCAGCAGCCGCAACAACAGCAGCAGCAGCAACAACCTCCTCTACCGCCAGCAAGGACTGGCAGCAGTCTACACCAGTCACAATATGGTAACACGCCAACAGCATCCTCCCTCAGTGGACCGAGTGGCGCAGCAGTATACTCTGATATGAGATCGCCGTACGCTCGCCCTGGCAGCAGACCTGTGCAGCAAGGTCACACATCTTACTCTGGATCTCCGGTGAAGGCACTGTCTGGACAACAGAATAGTGTGAGTAAACAGATACAGACAGACAGACACACACAGACAGACACACAGAGACACAGATACGCATACACACGTTTACACACACACACAGACACAGATACACATACACATTTACACACACACACACACACACAGGCTTCCGTAGTGCTGCTGCATTACGCATTGCCTGGTACCTTTCTTGGGTAGAGCACTCTGGCGCTAGAGCGACGAGCTATCTTAATGTCTGTGGTGCCTCCTTTGAGGCCTTTATGGCCGAAACAGCTTGCTGCAGCTTGCAGAGAATTTGCGAAATCTGAGATTTCCCACAATGCGGAAGCAATCTGCAGTTTGCGCAGGCATGCTTGCGCATTCTGGGAATTTTCAGAATGCGCCCGAAATGGATTCGCGGGGCTTTTCATGTTTTTTTTTCAGGGAAATGCACAGATTACGCCTTATACGGACTCTTTTCGTGTTTGCTCCCACAGGTTGCCCCGACATGAATTTGCTGTGCTCTTCATGTTTTCAGCGAAGTATACAGTGATACACGCTGGGTTTTTACTTCCTCCGTTAAGCAAAACTTTGTTGCATTTTTACAGTTCAGTCCGAATCATCCTACGGCTACAAACATGCTTTGCAAAAGTGGATAACAAAGCAGCATATGATATTTATTTACAGATGTCACACAGCTCGTTTCAAAACAGTCCAGCTTCACTCTTGGTCTGAATCTGATGACGACTCACTCTCTCAATGACATCGAGTCTGCATCCTCACTGACTTTTGCCTCCAGCGCTGCCAGCTTTTGTTCCGCAGCCTTTACAAGTTGCCAAGACACGATTTGATAGTGGAGATCGCCAAGTTCTTCACTGGAACTGTGAGCCTGACGACCTCCACGGTGGCACCCCTGTCCCGGAAACTTAGACAGGGGTGCTGGGTTCGAATAGGGCTTGAAAGTGCTACGTCACAGCATAGAAGCAATTTCAAAAATTCAAAAATTGGACCCACATGGATCGAGTTCTTGTATGGATACAAGCGGTCATACTCACAGCAAGGGGATATTCTTTTTTTAAATTTCACGGTTCGCTTGAGACTCGGCTGGAAGCCGGACTTTCCACATCCGTAGGAACACCCCCACCCTTCAAGGATCAAGGCGCAGATGCAGCTCCTAAAGCGGTGGGAGGTGAGTAGATCAGCTCACCAGCAAGTGGCCAAAGACCGAAACTCCCATTCACTGCATCCATGCATCCAGGCTATATCAAAGGGGATATAGTCTGTGAAATTGACTGGGTTTTCTAATGGGCGTCGGATGACAATTGGTGACGAAGAAAAGTCACACCTGCATACGACATGAGTGGATTGCTATGCACCCACACACTGAGGTAATAGAAAAGTTACACTTTAGAGGATCCAAAAGTAGAAATCTGATGTGAACTTACTACTCCCCGACCGTTTTGACGTCATCACTTTCAAGCCCTATTCCGCCCGTGGATCCTTCTTTTGCAACATTGGCGCCAGGAAATGGCCCATCGTACCCCTTACCATTCGACTCGGCACCCTGAAGACTGCAACTGGTGTAAATTTGATTTTAGGCTTACCGTAATCTCATGCATTTGAGGACATGTTCTTATTTTCGAATATAATAGCACTCTCGCTTATAAGAACCTGCACATATAAGTGAATGAAAATCATAGAACCACACGCGGTTCATCATGATTCCATTGTACTGGCATTGATATGCGTACTTTCACTGTTGCACATGTTTGTGTCGATGCGATGTTTGTCTCTCGCATAATTATATGACCATGGTCTTGTAATCAAAACAAAAATGCAGACCTCTCGATTCTAATAAAGACAATGGTCTTATATGCACGAGATTACGGAAACATCCCCTTTAAAATACTGTCTCTTCGCTGCATACGCAAACTAACAGTTATTCACCAAATTTTCAGGCATGTCCGATGTTCATGTCGTCAACTTGGGCGATGCTTATACGTCTAGGTTATGGGACGAAGTATTCTCCTCAATGAGATCGCGCCACACAACAAAAGGCCAAGTTACTTTAGTTTATAGAGCGAGTTTTCTCTTCTTGTTTTCAAGAGACGACGAGACAACTGACACTGAGACGAGACAAGACAAAGGAACATATTGTGAAGACGCGAGGAAAAGTGGGGCGGTGGAAGTGAAATTGGTGCCTGTGCGTAATACAACCAGTCCCGAACTGAAAAGGGAGACGGCAGACGATCAAAGACGACGGAGACAAGACGGAAACCGGACGAATACAACGGAGACAAGACAAGAAAATGCGTATACAACGGGGACAAGACGAGAAAGAGTGCATGCGGAGGGGACAGAAGACGGTGCAGCCGCATGTACAGATCATTCGAAGACAGAGCAGCAGCGTGTACCACGGTTCAGCAGCATGTACGACAAAGAGACGCAAACGCAGCAGCATGTACAACAAAGAGCTACACGCGCAGCCACGTGTACAACAAAGAGCTACAAGCACAGCCACATGTACAACACTATCCCCCACCGAAAAAAAGACATCCACTCCTGTTGATGGAAGCAAGCAAAATTGAAGTTATATAAAAAACGGAAGAAGACTGCTGAGAAAGATTTGGGAATTTAAATGTGAAGCAACATTAAAAGGCGACAACAAAGCACAAAGTGTACGGGGCCACAACTGTTGAACACATGACTAGTAGGCCAGGAGGGTTAACAGTTAACACCAGTCGGGAGCCCCGCAAAACTGTGCAACTATCAATGGAACCTGCAAGCAAGAGATGGCACTTTCTCGGTTTGATTTTGAGTTTCGCTCGTCGTAATGCAGTTATGTAGAGCACGAGACTCTTCATCTCAGGGTCGGCGAAGAGCCACAAGCGCAGCTAAATGTACAACATTCGGGTTGAAAACAGTTTTGACTTTAGTACAACTAGCCATGCTATTATTAATATAGGTTAGTGCATTTCAGGGAGGGCCTTAGGGTTTGTTAGTGCCCGACAGGTTAGCCTTAGGGCTGTAGGCCCGAGGGCTAACCTGAATGGCACAAACAAGCCACAAGGCCCTCCTTGCCATGCACCAACTATTTTAGAACGAGGATACAGTCAACTTCGCTAATAACGACTGCGGATATAACGACAATTCGCGAATAACGACAGAAATTTCCATGCCCAGAGCAAAGTCCCATCCAACTGTAATACATATAATGGGACTTTGGGCATAACGACAATTCGCGAGTAAGGACACTTTTCTGATGCCTCGCCGAGTGTCGCTATAAGCAAAGTTCACTGTACGTGTATTATCCCACTTGCATTGTGCTTGTTTATGCTTATAATTGTTGGGTAGTTTTGTGTTTTGTGTGCAGAGAGAATTGGTGTGGTATGATTATTTTCTTCTAGTGACTCAGTACCATCTGAGGACTACTAAAAGGAGTATAGAGGCAAATGAAATGCTGGGCTGTTACTGCGAGCTTCATTCTCTAGACAAAGTAAAGTCGTACAGATGAAAGAGTACGGGAGGCAAAACCCGTACACATTTCTGAAGTGCGTGGCTTTTTGTAGTACACCGTACATTTCATGCAGAATTCATTATCTGCGCCGTACTATAATGCATACAGGAATTTGTACTCACATGTTAAGAGCATATTCAGCGGGCAGTAAACTAATCCAAGGCCCTCGACGCGTCTTCAAGAGTAGTAAAATTACGACTGAGCTGGCTTTAAACTGTGCTAAGGCCCTTGGTGGGAATATCGCTGATAAGTCGTTTCCTAGACATCGAGATAGACCTCATATTTTTGGTATTGATTTATTTGAATTCGGTATCTCAATAGTGCTTCAGTACAATGTACAACTTGGCAAGATCCGAATGGCATAGATACGTAAACATAAGAGTGGAGTAGGTGCTACAGCTGATCATTTTATCGCAGGTTGTGGGACTAAACTAATACCAGTATGCAAGTACACAAGAAATAAAAGCTGAATAAGTACGACTGCATGACATCGGAGAAAAGCACCGATTAAAGCAAAACAAAGCGACACATCATTCATTGAAAACATTTTCAAAAAGGAGCTGTTTTAACCGGGAACATTCTGGCCCGTCATTAAGAAGGCAGGCAAGATGGACGTTAAATGCAGAAGACCTATTACAAGACTTCATTTCAAAGGGCAGAGCATTCCAAAGCCAATAAAGACTGTTTATGAAATACCACTATTAAACATCTTCACAACACTCTCCAAACGGTCTCTGGGCTACACCAGTCACTAAAAGAAAAAGAGATATTAAAATTATTTGATTTTTTGGGCAAGGCCCATCTGCAGGAATGTAGTTACTGCAGACCATACAGAGATTACTAGTACGTGACCAAATATACAAACATTTGTTTTGGCCAAAATGTTTGTATTTGTTACTTATATAATCTGTGTTTTGTCTGCAGTAGCCCAGAGACCGTTTGGAGAGTGTTGTTTTAACAATGTATGGATATAGTGGATGACTACAGTGGAGTCTTCGCATTTTTGAGAAACGACTATTAAAGGCGAATAAATACTGTTTATAAAATACTCCTTGTGCAGTGCTACATGGAAAAGTGCGGTGGTATTTATTGAGTTAAAGAAAAAATAAATCCTCAGCGGAGGACGTTCAGGTTGGTTGCAACCAACCTGAACGTCCTCCGCTGAGTCTGCTATGAGTCAAAGAAAATATATTTGAATTTGATACTGTTGATGGTGTGATCACTAATGAGTGTGGGTAGTTATCAAAGGTCAATATATGTTGGAGGTCGATATAGAAGAGTGATAAATGTGCATATGCAGGGGCGGATACAGGGGGGGTTCAGGGGGTTCGGACGAACCCCCTAAAATAATTTCGACCATGGGTCCAGTCGATTCTTTTGTGATATCCACGTGCGCAACCAGCGAAGTGTAGCGTACATGCAGCGTAGCCAGTACAGGCAGTAGACTTCACTGGCATGCATCCTGCATGCAGTAGTCACGTACAGGCAGTGCAGGTACTAGGTCACTGCATGCATGCAGTGGTCGGGACTGTTGTACGCGTACCGTTCGAATCGAAGGGTCTGTACGCGTATCATGTGACTTGAAACGATCGACAGTTCAAGTGGTGGAGCAAAAGGTGGAAAAACTGCCACTTGTCCTCCTTCGAGCTTCCTTGTCGTTTTGTTTTATTTCGCGCTGGCTGGACTGTAGGTTTCCTCCGTCGCAGTACGAAGATCATGTTTGTGTTTGTCGTGTAGTTTGCCATGTCGCGGTGGAGGCAAAGGTGGAGAAACTGCCACTTGTCCTCCTTACCTTCCTTGTCGTTTTGTTTTATTTCGCGCTGGCTGGACTGTAGGTTTTCTCCGTCGCAGTACGAAGATCATGTTTGTGTTTGTCGTGTGGTTTGCCATGTCGCGACGTCTGCCAAAGAGGCGAGCGGCCGATCAGTTGCCATTGATCTTGGCTTCGTTCCGCCGTGTACGACGCGAATGTGACGACACGCAGTCCCAGCCGGAGGACAGTCAGAGAACTTCGCCTTCCGTCAGTTCGGAAAATGCTGCAGTCACGGCCTTAGTTTCTGCCTGTGCTGTAGCTTTGTACTTTGTAAGGCTCTAAACGCATTATTACCCTTGTCTTATTGGCCAAGCAATGCAAGGGCTACCGTGACAATAAAGTTTTGCAACTCCCGGTGTAGTGAACGAACCGAAAACAGTTTGAAGCGAATTTAATTCTGTGCACTCAAAAAAATTTGAACCCCCCCTGAAAAATTCCTGGATCCGCCCCTGATATGTGCATATAAACAATCTTGCATTGATTCCATATGCAGGCTTGTGCTGGTTGGATTCAGCAGAAATTGTAGATGTGTGCCAATGCAGAATTTGGCTAGGCATGCTTGTGTGTTTGGAATACTGGGCTACAGTAGCAGTACTCTTGTGCAAGTGAAAATCTTTTCCCTTTTCGGGTCTCTGAATCACTGTGCTCTTTCGCCATGTCATTGACGAGGGATGGCAATGTGTTCTTTAATTTCTTTGCTATGTTCTTTATGATGTGATCTCCTTGAAGCAGACCGATGGGTTCACTGGTTCCTGGAAGGCAGGGATGCTGCAACAACAGCAGCAGCCGCAACAACCTCCTCTACCGCCAGCAAAGACTGGCAGCAGTCTACACCAGTCACAATATGGTAACACGCCAACAGCATCCTCCCTCAGTGGACCGAGTGGCGCAGCAGTACACTCTGATATGAGATCACCGTACGCTCGCCCTGGCAGCAGACCTGTGCAGCAAGGTCACACATCTTACTCTGGATCTTCGGTGAAGGCAATCTCTGGACAACAGAGCAGTGTGAGTAAACAGATACAGACAGACAGACACAGATACACATGCACACATATGCACACACACACACACACACACACACACACACACACACACACACGCACACACTACTACTACTACTACTATCAATCAGCTACCCCGTGGGGTCACGCCGCCCTCCACTCAGAGAACTGAGCGCAAGGTGAGGGGCAGTGGCGCAAAACAAAACAGGAAGTACAGCAAAATGAATTGAAAAAAAAGAAAATCAAAACAAGCTGCCATATTGATGGAAAAGGACTCACAAACAGAGGGAAGAAATATCACAAACCAGATGAACAGTCTGCTGTAGGTCCACTATAAGTATAACATGCAACGACTGAAAAAGGAACATGATGTTCAGTTCAACGTCTGTACGCTTACTGCTTCGGCCTTCATAAACCAGGAAAGCACAATCTTGAACTGGAGGGTGGGCACCGAACGTCCCACAAGGGCTCCACAAGACGAACTTTCACGAAACGACGAGGAGTGTGCACGGCAAGCTAACATCACTACACCATCGCCGCACGACAACTGGCCACTCAGGTCCAAACAACACGACAAATCCACAATTCCAGCGATACACCGCGCAGGAATAAATTGCTGCGAGTGTGACCTGTTTCCTTTCTCATCCAGGAATTCACGTGCTTTGCCGAACGCCACTGCATTGTTTCAGGCTGGGGATCGATCCGAGGGCTCGCCACGCCACTGCGGAGGATGCGGAAAGGACGCAAGAAGACGGTGACGGCAACAAATAATTACCCGCCCTGGTCGTCAGCTCACTGAATGTCCTTCCGCGCGAGCGAAACCGGCTGCACGGCATGAAAAGCCTACTGCCACTCAATACCCAGGGACGACCCTGACCAGAAGGCCAAGGCCGCCCCGTGGAGGAGGCCAACAAAGAGAAAACCAGGAGCTAACAAATCTGCTTCCTCTCCGCGAAAATTTCACACACACACATACACACACACAGGCTGCCGTAGTGCTGCTGCCATACGCATTGCCTGGTACCTTTCGTGGGTAGAGCACTCTGGCGCTAGAGCGACGAGCTATCTTAATGTCTGTGGTGCCTCCTTTGAGGCCTTTATGGCCGAAACAGCTTGCTGCAGCTTGCAGAGAATTTGCGCAATCTGAGATTTCCCACAATGCGGAAGCAATCTGCAGTTTGCGCAGGAATGCTTGCGCATTCTTGGAATTTTCAGAATGCGCCCGAAATGGATTCGCGGGGCTCTTCATGTTTTTTTTCCCAGGGAAATGCACAGATTACGCCTCATACGGACTCTTCGTTTTTGCTCCCACAGGTTGCCCCGACATGAATTTGCTGTGCTCTTCATGTTTTCAGCGAAGTATACAGTGATACACGCTGGGTTTTTACTTCCTCCGTTAAGCAAAACTTTGTTGCATTTTTACAGTGCAGTCCGAATCATCCTACGGCTACAAACATGCTTTGCAAAAGTGGATAACAAAGCAGCATATGATATAATAATTATTTATTTACAGATGTCACATAGCTCGTTTCAAAGCAGTCCAGCTTCACTCTTGGTCTGAATCTGATGACGACTCGCTCTCTCAATGACATTGAGTCTGCATCCTCACTGACTTTCGCCTCCAGCGCTGCCAGCTTTTGTTCCGCAGCCTTTACAAGTTGCCAAGACACGATTTGATAGTGGAGATCGCCAAGTTCTTCACTCGAACTGTGAGCCTGACGACCTCCACGGTGGTACCCCTGTCCCGGAAAGACAGGGGTGCTGGGTTCGAATAGGGCTTGAAAGTGCTACGTCACAGCATAGAAACAATTTCAAAAATTCAAAAATTGGACCCACATGGATCGAGTTCTTGTATGGCTACAAGGGGTCATACTAACAGCAAGGGGATATTCTTTTTTTAAATTTCACGGTTCGCTTGAGACTCGGCTGGAAGCCGGGCTTTCCACATCCGTAGGAACACCACCACCCTTCAAGGATCAAGGCGCAGATGCAGCTCCTAAAGCGGTTGGAGGTGAGTAGATCAGCTCACCAGGAAGTGGTCAACGACTGAAAATCCCATTCACTGCATCCATGCATCCAGGCTATATCAAAGGGGATATAGCCTGTGAAATTGACTGGGTAGTCTAATGGGCGTCGGATGACAATTGGTGACGAAGAAAAGTCACACCTGCATATGACATGAGAGGATTGCTATGCACCCACACACTGAGGTAATAGAAAAGTTCCACTTCAGAGGATCCAAAAGTAGAAATCTGATGTGAACTTACTACTCCCCGACCGTTTTGACGTCATCACTTTCAAGCCCTATTCCGCCCGTGGATCCTTCTTTTGCAACATTGGCGCCAGGAAATGGCCCATCGTACCCCTTACCATTCGACTCGGCACCCTGAAGACTGCAGCTGGTGTAAATTTGATTTTAGGCTTACCGTAATCTCATGCATTTAAGGACATGTTCTTATTTTCGAATATAATTGCACTCTCGCTTATAAGAACCTGCACATATAAGTGAATGAAAATCATAGAACCACACGCGGTTCATCATGATTCCTGTTCTGTAGAGGCGTGCTCCTACCTCGGCACACACCCAAACCACACAAAGGACAAGCTCGCGACTACCAAGAGAACTCTGTTAGAAAATTCTGGCTCCAAGCCGCAATTGATTGAAACCTTTCACCGAACTCGTAAGCACTAAAGCCTACTCTAGCCAACTCACTACTGCAGTGAAAACGTCTAGCTTATAACACTTGCATGCCAACAACTCCATCAGCAGGTGCGAAAGAAGGTGAAGACAAAGCCTGTGACTTAAATGTGTGAACCCTAACGAAAGTCACAGTTACATGTAACACAAAACGAGAGTGCATGTCGGTGACACGTGCGACCTCCTGAACAATTCCATTGTACTGGCATTGATATGCGTACTTTCACTGTTGCACATGTTTGTGTCGATGCGATGTTTGTCTCTCGCATAATTATATGACCATGGTCTTGAAATCAAAACAAAAATGCAGACCTCTCGATTATAATAAAGACCATGGTCTTATATGCACGAGATTACGGAAACATCCCCTTTAAAATACTGTCTCTTCGCTGCATACGCAAACTAACAGTTATTCACCAAATTTTCAGGCATGTCCGATGTTCATGTCGTCAACTTGGGCGATGCTTATACGTCTAGCTTATGGGACGAAGTATGCTCCTCAATGAGATTGCGCCACACAACTAAAGGCCAAGTTACTTTTGTTTATAGAGCGAGTTCTCTTCTTGTTTTCAAGAGACGACGAGACAACTGACACTGAGACGAGACAAGACAAAGGAATATATTGTGAAGACGCGAGGAAAAGTGGGGCGGTGGAAGTGAAATTGGTGCCTGTGCGTAATACAACCAGTCCCGAACTGAAAAGGGAGACAAAGACGGCAGACGATCAAAGACGACGGAGACAAGACGGAAACCGGACGAATACAACGGAGACAAGACAAGCAAATGCGTATACAACGGGGACAAGACGAGAAAGAGTGCATGCGGAGGGGGCAGAAGACGGTGCAGCCGCATGTACAGATCATTCGAAGACAGAGCAGCAGCGTGTACCACGGTTCAGCAGCATGTACGACAAAGAGACGCAAACGCAGCAGCATGTACAACAAAGAGCTACACGCGCAGCCACGTGTACAACAAAGAGCTACAAGCACAGCCACATGTACAACACTATCCCCCACCGAAAAAAAGACATCCACTCCTGTTGATGGAAGCAAGCAAAATTGAAGTTATATAAAAAACGGAAGAAGACTGCTGAGAAAGATTTGGGAATTTAAATGTGAAGCAACCTAAAAAGGCGACAACAAAACACAAAGTGTACGGGGCCACAACTGTTGAACACATGACTAGTAGGCAGGAGGGTTAACAGTTAACACCAGTCGGGAGCCCCGCAAAACTGTGCAACTATCAATGGAACCTGCAAGCAAGAGATGGCACTTTCTCGGTTTGATTTTGAGTTTCGCTCGTCGTAATGCAGTTATGTAGAGCACGAGACTCTTCATCTCAGGGTCGGCGAAGAGCCACAAGCGCAGCTAAATGTACAACATTCGGGTTGAAAACAGTTTTGACTTTAGTACAACTAGCCATGCTATTATTAATATAGGTTAGTGCATTGCAGGGAGGGCCTTAGGGTTTGTTAGTGCCCGACAGGTTAGCCTTAGGGCTGTAGGCCCGAGGGCTAACCTGAATGGCACAAACAAGCCACAAGGCCCTCCTTGCCATGCACCAACTATTTTAGAACGAGGATACAGTCAACTTCGCTAATAACGACTGCGGATATAACGACAATTCACGAATAACGACAGAAATTTCCATGCCCAGAGCAAAGTCCCATCCAACTGTAATACATATAATAGGACTTTGGGCATAACGACAATTCGCGAGTAAGGACACTTTTCTGATGCCCCGCCGAGTGTCGCTATAAGCAAAGTTGACTGTACGTGTATTATCCCACTTGCATTGTGCTTGTTTACGCTTATAATTGTTGGGTAGTTTTGTGTTTTGTGTGCAGAGAGAATTGGTGTGGTATGATTATTTTCTTCTAGTGACTCATTACCATCTGAGGACTACTAACAGGAAAATAGAGGCAAATGAAATGCTGGGCTGTTATTGCGAGCTTAATTCTCTTGACAAAGTAAAGTCGTACAGATGAAAAAGTACGGGAGGCAAAACCCGTACACATTTCTGAAGTGCGTGGCTTTTTGTAGTACACCGTACATTTCATGCAGAGTTCATTATCTGCGCCGTACTATAATGCATACAGGAATTTGTACTCACATGTTAAGAGCATATTCAGCGGGCAGTAAACTAATCCAAGGCCCTCGACGCGTCTTCCAGAGTAGTAAAATTACGACTGAGCTGGCTTTAAACTGTGCTAAGGCCCTTGGTGGGAATATCGCTGATAAGTCGTTTCCTAGACATCGAGATAGACCTCATATTTTTGGTATTGATTTATTTGAATTCGGTATCTCAATAGTACTTCAGTACAATGTACAACTTGGCAAGATCCGAATGGCATAGATACGTAAACATAAAAGTGGAGTAGGTGCTACAGCTGATCATTTTATCGCAGGTTGTGGGACTAAACTAATACCAGTATGCAAGTACACAAGAAATAAAAGCTGAATAAGTACGACTGCATGACATCGGAGAAAAGCACCGATTAAAGCAAAACAAAGCGACACATCATTCATTGAAATTCAAAAGGAGCTGTTTTAACCGGGAACATTCTGGCCCGTCATTAAGAAGGCAGGCAAGATGGACGTTAAATGCAGAAGACCTATTACAAGACTTCATTTCAAAGGGCAGAGCATTCCAAAGCCAATAAAGACTGTTTATGAAATACCACTATTAAACATCTTCACAACACTCTCCAAACGGTCTCTGGGCTACACCAGTCACTAAAAGAAAAAGAGATATTAAAATTATTTGATTTTTTGGGCAAGGCCCATCTGCAGGAATGTAGTTACTGCAGACCATACAGAGATTACTAGTACGTGACCAAATATACAAACATTTGTTTTGGCCAAAATGTTTGTATTTGTTACTTGTATAATCTGTGTTTTGTCTGCAGTAGCCCAGAGACCGTTTGGAGAGTGTTGTTTTAACAATGTATGGATATAGTGGATGACTACAGTGGAGTCTTCGCATTTTTGAGAAACGACTATTAAAGGCGAATAAATACTGTTTATAAAATACTCCTTGTGCAGTGCTACATGGAAAAGTGCGGTGGTATTTATTGAGTTAAAGAAAAAATAAATCCTCAGCGGAGGACGTTCAGGTTGGTTGCAACCAACCTGAACGTCCTCCGCTGAGTCTGCTATGAGTCAAAGAAAATATATTTGAATTTGATACTGTTGATGGTGTGATCACTAATGAGTGTGGGTAGTTATCAAAGGTCAATATATGTTGGAGGTCGATATAGAAGAGTGATAAATGTGCATATGTGCATATAAACAATCTTGCATTGATTCCATATGCAGGCTTGTGCTGGTTGGATTCAGCAGAAATTGTAGATGTGTGCCAATGCAGAATTTGGCTAGGCATGCTTGTGTGTTTGGAATACTGGGCTACAGTAGCAGTACTCTTGTGCAAGTGAAAATCTTTTCCCTTTTCGGGTCTCTGAATCACTGTGCTCTTTCGCCATGTCATCAAGTTGACGAGGGATGGCAATGTGTTCTTTAATTTCTTTGCTATGTTCTTTATGATGTGATCTCCTTGAAGCAGACCGATGGGTTCACTGGTTCCTGGAAGGCAGGGATGCTGCAACAACAGCAGCAGCCGCAACAACCTCCTCTACCGCCAGCAAAGACTGGCAGCAGTCTACACCAGTCACAATATGGTAACACGCCAACAGCATCCTCCCTCAGTGGACCGAGTGGCGCAGCAGTACACTCTGATATGAGATCACCGTACGCTCGCCCTGGCAGCAGACCTGTGCAGCAAGGTCACACATCTTACTCTGGATCTTCGGTGAAGGCAATCTCTGGACAACAGAGCAGTGTGAGTAAACAGATACAGACAGACAGACACAGATACACATGCACACATATGCACACACACACACACACACACACACACACACACACGCACACACTACTACTACTACTACTATCAATCAGCTACCCCGTGGGGTCACGCCGCCCTCCACTCAGAGAACTGAGCGCAAGGTGAGGGGCAGTGGCGCAAAACAAAACAGGAAGTACAGCAAAATGAATTGAAAAAAAAGAAAATCAAAACAAGCTGCCATATTGATGGAAAAGGACTCACAAACAGAGGGAAGAAATATCACAAACCAGATGAACAGTCTGCTGTAGGTCCACTATAAGTATAACATGCAACGACTGAAAAAGGAACATGATGTTCAGTTCAACGTCTGTACGCTTACTGCTTCGGCCTTCATAAACCAGGAAAGCACAATCTTGAACTGGAGGGTGGGCACCGAACGTCCCACAAGGGCTCCACAAGACGAACTTTCACGAAACGACGAGGAGTGTGCACGGCAAGCTAACATCACTACACCATCGCCGCACGACAACTGGCCACTCAGGTCCAAACAACACGACAAATCCACAATTCCAGCGATACACCGCGCAGGAATAAATTGCTGCGAGTGTGACCTGTTTCCTTTCTCATCCAGGAATTCACGTGCTTTGCCGAACGCCACTGCATTGTTTCAGGCTGGGGATCGATCCGAGGGCTCGCCACGCCACTGCGGAGGATGCGGAAAGGACGCAAGAAGACGGTGACGGCAACAAATAATTACCCGCCCTGGTCGTCAGCTCACTGAATGTCCTTCCGCGCGAGCGAAACCGGCTGCACGGCATGAAAAGCCTACTGCCACTCAATACCCAGGGACGACCCTGACCAGAAGGCCAAGGCCGCCCCGTGGAGGAGGCCAACAAAGAGAAAACCAGGAGCTAACAAATCTGCTTCCTCTCCGCGAAAATTTCACACACACACATACACACACACAGGCTGCCGTAGTGCTGCTGCCATACGCATTGCCTGGTACCTTTCGTGGGTAGAGCACTCTGGCGCTAGAGCGACGAGCTATCTTAATGTCTGTGGTGCCTCCTTTGAGGCCTTTATGGCCGAAACAGCTTGCTGCAGCTTGCAGAGAATTTGCGCAATCTGAGATTTCCCACAATGCGGAAGCAATCTGCAGTTTGCGCAGGAATGCTTGCGCATTCTTGGAATTTTCAGAATGCGCCCGAAATGGATTCGCGGGGCTCTTCATGTTTTTTTTCCCAGGGAAATGCACAGATTACGCCTCATACGGACTCTTCGTTTTTGCTCCCACAGGTTGCCCCGACATGAATTTGCTGTGCTCTTCATGTTTTCAGCGAAGTATACAGTGATACACGCTGGGTTTTTACTTCCTCCGTTAAGCAAAACTTTGTTGCATTTTTACAGTGCAGTCCGAATCATCCTACGGCTACAAACATGCTTTGCAAAAGTGGATAACAAAGCAGCATATGATATAATAATTATTTATTTACAGATGTCACATAGCTCGTTTCAAAGCAGTCCAGCTTCACTCTTGGTCTGAATCTGATGACGACTCGCTCTCTCAATGACATTGAGTCTGCATCCTCACTGACTTTCGCCTCCAGCGCTGCCAGCTTTTGTTCCGCAGCCTTTACAAGTTGCCAAGACACGATTTGATAGTGGAGATCGCCAAGTTCTTCACTCGAACTGTGAGCCTGACGACCTCCACGGTGGTACCCCTGTCCCGGAAAGACAGGGGTGCTGGGTTCGAATAGGGCTTGAAAGTGCTACGTCACAGCATAGAAACAATTTCAAAAATTCAAAAATTGGACCCACATGGATCGAGTTCTTGTATGGCTACAAGGGGTCATACTAACAGCAAGGGGATATTCTTTTTTTAAATTTCACGGTTCGCTTGAGACTCGGCTGGAAGCCGGGCTTTCCACATCCGTAGGAACACCACCACCCTTCAAGGATCAAGGCGCAGATGCAGCTCCTAAAGCGGTTGGAGGTGAGTAGATCAGCTCACCAGGAAGTGGTCAACGACTGAAAATCCCATTCACTGCATCCATGCATCCAGGCTATATCAAAGGGGATATAGCCTGTGAAATTGACTGGGTAGTCTAATGGGCGTCGGATGACAATTGGTGACGAAGAAAAGTCACACCTGCATATGACATGAGAGGATTGCTATGCACCCACACACTGAGGTAATAGAAAAGTTCCACTTCAGAGGATCCAAAAGTAGAAATCTGATGTGAACTTACTACTCCCCGACCGTTTTGACGTCATCACTTTCAAGCCCTATTCCGCCCGTGGATCCTTCTTTTGCAACATTGGCGCCAGGAAATGGCCCATCGTACCCCTTACCATTCGACTCGGCACCCTGAAGACTGCAGCTGGTGTAAATTTGATTTTAGGCTTACCGTAATCTCATGCATTTAAGGACATGTTCTTATTTTCGAATATAATTGCACTCTCGCTTATAAGAACCTGCACATATAAGTGAATGAAAATCATAGAACCACACGCGGTTCATCATGATTCCTGTTCTGTAGAGGCGTGCTCCTACCTCGGCACACACCCAAACCACACAAAGGACAAGCTCGCGACTACCAAGAGAACTCTGTTAGAAAATTCTGGCTCCAAGCCGCAATTGATTGAAACCTTTCACCGAACTCGTAAGCACTAAAGCCTACTCTAGCCAACTCACTACTGCAGTGAAAACGTCTAGCTTATAACACTTGCATGCCAACAACTCCATCAGCAGGTGCGAAAGAAGGTGAAGACAAAGCCTGTGACTTAAATGTGTGAACCCTAACGAAAGTCACAGTTACATGTAACACAAAACGAGAGTGCATGTCGGTGACACGTGCGACCTCCTGAACAATTCCATTGTACTGGCATTGATATGCGTACTTTCACTGTTGCACATGTTTGTGTCGATGCGATGTTTGTCTCTCGCATAATTATATGACCATGGTCTTGAAATCAAAACAAAAATGCAGACCTCTCGATTATAATAAAGACCATGGTCTTATATGCACGAGATTACGGAAACATCCCCTTTAAAATACTGTCTCTTCGCTGCATACGCAAACTAACAGTTATTCACCAAATTTTCAGGCATGTCCGATGTTCATGTCGTCAACTTGGGCGATGCTTATACGTCTAGCTTATGGGACGAAGTATGCTCCTCAATGAGATTGCGCCACACAACTAAAGGCCAAGTTACTTTTGTTTATAGAGCGAGTTCTCTTCTTGTTTTCAAGAGACGACGAGACAACTGACACTGAGACGAGACAAGACAAAGGAATATATTGTGAAGACGCGAGGAAAAGTGGGGCGGTGGAAGTGAAATTGGTGCCTGTGCGTAATACAACCAGTCCCGAACTGAAAAGGGAGACAAAGACGGCAGACGATCAAAGACGACGGAGACAAGACGGAAACCGGACGAATACAACGGAGACAAGACAAGCAAATGCGTATACAACGGGGACAAGACGAGAAAGAGTGCATGCGGAGGGGGCAGAAGACGGTGCAGCCGCATGTACAGATCATTCGAAGACAGAGCAGCAGCGTGTACCACGGTTCAGCAGCATGTACGACAAAGAGACGCAAACGCAGCAGCATGTACAACAAAGAGCTACACGCGCAGCCACGTGTACAACAAAGAGCTACAAGCACAGCCACATGTACAACACTATCCCCCACCGAAAAAAAGACATCCACTCCTGTTGATGGAAGCAAGCAAAATTGAAGTTATATAAAAAACGGAAGAAGACTGCTGAGAAAGATTTGGGAATTTAAATGTGAAGCAACCTAAAAAGGCGACAACAAAACACAAAGTGTACGGGGCCACAACTGTTGAACACATGACTAGTAGGCAGGAGGGTTAACAGTTAACACCAGTCGGGAGCCCCGCAAAACTGTGCAACTATCAATGGAACCTGCAAGCAAGAGATGGCACTTTCTCGGTTTGATTTTGAGTTTCGCTCGTCGTAATGCAGTTATGTAGAGCACGAGACTCTTCATCTCAGGGTCGGCGAAGAGCCACAAGCGCAGCTAAATGTACAACATTCGGGTTGAAAACAGTTTTGACTTTAGTACAACTAGCCATGCTATTATTAATATAGGTTAGTGCATTGCAGGGAGGGCCTTAGGGTTTGTTAGTGCCCGACAGGTTAGCCTTAGGGCTGTAGGCCCGAGGGCTAACCTGAATGGCACAAACAAGCCACAAGGCCCTCCTTGCCATGCACCAACTATTTTAGAACGAGGATACAGTCAACTTCGCTAATAACGACTGCGGATATAACGACAATTCACGAATAACGACAGAAATTTCCATGCCCAGAGCAAAGTCCCATCCAACTGTAATACATATAATAGGACTTTGGGCATAACGACAATTCGCGAGTAAGGACACTTTTCTGATGCCCCGCCGAGTGTCGCTATAAGCAAAGTTGACTGTACGTGTATTATCCCACTTGCATTGTGCTTGTTTACGCTTATAATTGTTGGGTAGTTTTGTGTTTTGTGTGCAGAGAGAATTGGTGTGGTATGATTATTTTCTTCTAGTGACTCATTACCATCTGAGGACTACTAACAGGAAAATAGAGGCAAATGAAATGCTGGGCTGTTATTGCGAGCTTAATTCTCTTGACAAAGTAAAGTCGTACAGATGAAAAAGTACGGGAGGCAAAACCCGTACACATTTCTGAAGTGCGTGGCTTTTTGTAGTACACCGTACATTTCATGCAGAGTTCATTATCTGCGCCGTACTATAATGCATACAGGAATTTGTACTCACATGTTAAGAGCATATTCAGCGGGCAGTAAACTAATCCAAGGCCCTCGACGCGTCTTCCAGAGTAGTAAAATTACGACTGAGCTGGCTTTAAACTGTGCTAAGGCCCTTGGTGGGAATATCGCTGATAAGTCGTTTCCTAGACATCGAGATAGACCTCATATTTTTGGTATTGATTTATTTGAATTCGGTATCTCAATAGTACTTCAGTACAATGTACAACTTGGCAAGATCCGAATGGCATAGATACGTAAACATAAAAGTGGAGTAGGTGCTACAGCTGATCATTTTATCGCAGGTTGTGGGACTAAACTAATACCAGTATGCAAGTACACAAGAAATAAAAGCTGAATAAGTACGACTGCATGACATCGGAGAAAAGCACCGATTAAAGCAAAACAAAGCGACACATCATTCATTGAAATTCAAAAGGAGCTGTTTTAACCGGGAACATTCTGGCCCGTCATTAAGAAGGCAGGCAAGATGGACGTTAAATGCAGAAGACCTATTACAAGACTTCATTTCAAAGGGCAGAGCATTCCAAAGCCAATAAAGACTGTTTATGAAATACCACTATTAAACATCTTCACAACACTCTCCAAACGGTCTCTGGGCTACACCAGTCACTAAAAGAAAAAGAGATATTAAAATTATTTGATTTTTTGGGCAAGGCCCATCTGCAGGAATGTAGTTACTGCAGACCATACAGAGATTACTAGTACGTGACCAAATATACAAACATTTGTTTTGGCCAAAATGTTTGTATTTGTTACTTGTATAATCTGTGTTTTGTCTGCAGTAGCCCAGAGACCGTTTGGAGAGTGTTGTTTTAACAATGTATGGATATAGTGGATGACTACAGTGGAGTCTTCGCATTTTTGAGAAACGACTATTAAAGGCGAATAAATACTGTTTATAAAATACTCCTTGTGCAGTGCTACATGGAAAAGTGCGGTGGTATTTATTGAGTTAAAGAAAAAATAAATCCTCAGCGGAGGACGTTCAGGTTGGTTGCAACCAACCTGAACGTCCTCCGCTGAGTCTGCTATGAGTCAAAGAAAATATATTTGAATTTGATACTGTTGATGGTGTGATCACTAATGAGTGTGGGTAGTTATCAAAGGTCAATATATGTTGGAGGTCGATATAGAAGAGTGATAAATGTGCATATGTGCATATAAACAATCTTGCATTGATTCCATATGCAGGCTAGTGCTGGTTGGATTCAGCAGAAATTGTAGATGTGTGCCAATGCAGAATTTGGCTAGGCATGCTTGTGTGTTTGGAATACTGGGCTACAGTAGCAGTACTCTTGTGCAAGTGAAAATCTTTTCCCTTTTCGGGTCTCTGAATCACTGTGCTCTTTCGCCATGTCATCAAGTTGACGAGGGATGGCAATGTGTTCTTTAATTTCTTTGCTATGTTCTTTATGATGTGATCTCCTTGAAGCAGACCGATGGGTTCACTGGTTCCTGGAAGGCAGGGATGCTGCAACAACAGCAGCAGCCGCAACAACCTCCTCTACCGCCAGCAAAGACTGGCAGCAGTCTACACCAGTCACAATATGGTAACACGCCAACAGCATCCTCCCTCAGTGGACCGAGTGGCGCAGCAGTACACTCTGATATGAGATCACCGTACGCTCGCCCTGGCAGCAGACCTGTGCAGCAAGGTCACACATCTTACTCTGGATCTTCGGTGAAGGCAATCTCTGGACAACAGAGCAGTGTGAGTAAACAGATACAGACAGACAGACACACACAGATACACACACACAGACACAGATACACATGCACACATATGCACACACACACACACACACACACACACGCACACACTACTACTACTACTACTATCAATCAGCTACCCCGTGGGGTCACGCCGCCCTCCACTCAGAGAACTGAGCGCAAGGTGAGGGGCAGTGGCGCAAAACAAAACAGGAAGTACAGCAAAATGAATTGAAAAAAAAGAAAATCAAAACAAGCTGCCATATTGATGGAAAAGGACTCACAAACAGAGGGAAGAAATATCACAAACCAGATGAACAGTCTGCTGTAGGTCCACTATAAGTATAACATGCAACGACTGAAAAAGGAACATGATGTTCAGTTCAACGTCTGTACGCTTACTGCTTCGGCCTTCATAAACCAGGAAAGCACAATCTTGAACTGGAGGGTGGGCACCGAATGTCCCACAAGGGCTCCACAAGACGAACTTTCACGAAACGACGAGGAGTGTGCACGGCAAGCTAACATCACTACACCATCGCCGCACGACAACTGGCCACTCGGGTCCAAACAACACGACAAATCCACAATTCCAGCGATACACCGCGCAGGAATAAATTGCTGCGAGTGTGACCTGTTTCCTTTCTCATCCAGGAATCCACGTGCTTTGCCGAACGCCACTGCATTGTTTCAGGCTGGGGATCGATCCGAGGGCTCGCCACGCCACTGCGGAGGATGCGGAAAGGACGCAAGAAGACGGTGACGACAACAAATAATTACCCGCCCTGGTCGTCAGCTCACTGAATGTCCTTCCGCGCGAGCGAAACCGGCTGCACGGCATGAAAAGCCTACTGCCACTCAATACCCAGGGACGACCCTGACCAGAAGGCCAAGGCCGCCCCATGGAGGAGGCCAACAAAGAGAAAACCAGGAGCTAACAAATCTGCTTCCTCTCCGCGAAAATTTCACACACACACATACACACACACAGGCTGCCATAGTGCTGCTGCCATACGCATTGCCTGGTACCTTTCGTGGGTAAAGCACTCTGGCGCTAGAGCGACGAGCTATCTTAATGTCTGTGGTGCCTCCTTTGAGGCCTTTATGGCCGAAACAGCTTGCTGCAGCTTGCAGAGAATTTGCGCAATCTGAGATTTCCCACAATGCGGAAGCAATCTGCAGTTTGCGCAGGAATGCTTGCGCATTCTGGGAATTTTCAGAATGCGCCCGAAATGGATTCGCGGGGCTCTTCATGTTTTTTTTCCAGGGAAATGCACAGATTACGCCTCATACGGACTCTTCGTTTTTGCTCCCACAGGTTGCCCCGACATGAATTTGCTGTGCTCTTCATGTTTTCAGCGAAGTATACAGTGATACACGCTGGGTTTTTACTTCCTCCGTTAAGCAAAACTTTGTTGCATTTTTACAGTTCAGTCCGAATCATCCTACGGCTACAAACATGCTTTGCAAAAGTGGATAACAAAGCAGCATATGATATAATAATTATTTATTTACAGATGTCACATAGCTCGTTTCAAAGCAGTCCAGCTTCACTCTTGGTCTGAATCTGATGACGACTCGCTCTCTCAATGACATTGAGTCTGCATCCTCACTGACCTTCGCCTCCAGCGCTGCCAGCTTTTGTTCCGCAGCCTTTACAAGTTGCCAAGACACGATTTGATAGTGGAGATCGCCCAGTTCTTCACTCGAACCGTGAGCCTGACGACCTCCACGGTGGCACCCCTGTCCCGGAAAGACAGGGGTGCTGGGTTCGAATAGGGCTTGAAAGTGCTACGTCACAGCATAGAAACAATTTCAAAAATTCAAAAAATTGGACCCACATGGATCGAGTTCTTGTATGCCTACAAACGGTCATACTCACAGCAAGGGGATATTCTTTTTTTAAATTTCACGGTTCGCTTGAGACTCGGCTGGAAGCCGGGCTTTCCACATCCGTAGGAACACCACCACCCTTCAAGGATCAAGGCGCAGATGCAGCTCCTAAAGCGGTTGGAGGTGAGTAGATCAGCTCACCAGGAAGTGGTCAACGACTGAAAATCCCATTCACTGCATCCATGCATCCAGGCTATATCAAAGGGGATATAGCCTGTGAAATTGACTGGGTAGTCTAATGGGCGTCGGATGACAATTGGTGACGAAGAAAAGTCACACCTGCATACGACATGAGAGGATTGCTATGCACCCACACACTGAGGTAATAGAAAGGTTCCACTTCAGAGGATCCAAAAGTAGAAATCTGATGTGAACTTACTACTCCCCGACCGTTTCGACGTCATCACTTTCAAGCCCTATTCCGCTCGTGGATCCTTCTTTTGCAACATTGGCGCCAGGAAATGGCCCATCGTACCCCTTACCATTCGACTCAGCACCCTGAAGACTGCAGCTGGTGTAAATTTGATTTTAGGCTTACCGTAATCTCATGCATTTAAGGACATGTTCTTATTTTCGAATATAATAGCACTCTCGCTTATAAGAACCTGCACATATAAGTGAATGAAAATCTTAGAACCACACGCGGTTCATCATGATTCCTGTTCTGTAGAGGTGTGCTCCTACCTCGGCACACACCCAAACCACACAAAGGACCAGCTCGCGACTACCAAGAGAACTCTGTTAGAAAACTCTGGCTCCAAGCCGCAATTGCTTGAAACCTTTCACCGAACTCGTAAGCACTAAAGCCTACTCTAGCCAACTCACTACTGCAGTGAAAACGTCTAGCTTATAACACTTGCATGCCAACAACTCCATCAGCAGGCGCGAAAGAAGGTGAAGACAAAGCCTGTGACTTAAATGTGTGAACCCTAACGAAAGTCACAGCTACATGTAACACAAAACGAGAGTGCATGTCAGTGACACGTGCGACCTCCTGAACATTCTCCCCTTCCCGATATGTTGAAAAGTAACATCGAAAAGCATATCGCAACTCAACAAACAAATTTCCAATGCGACAAAAGCATTATTCCGAAAAGCTGTTGAAGAAATACAGCAAATGAACAATGTGAACACATTCAAGAAATAGTGAATCAAACTTTCCTTGAAATCAGTTTCACAAATGCCTCCGGCTGGTTGTTGTCACCTAGCCAATGTGACACCAGGGGCTTTAGCACATGCCAAGCGGACATAGTCGCGTGATAGGGCGTGTCTTCTCCTTGCCGCCCACAAGCACCTTAGCCACTCGTACATGTCCATCTGGACCAGGAAAGACTGCCGTAATTCTTCCCAACGTTAGTGCCCTCGTGGCGTGTCGGGATGAAGAACGTCTGGTTGAGTATTTCTCTCCGGTGGTCGCCACAAGAAACGCAAGTACGGTTGGTCCTCGGAGTGATTTCGAATCTGAAGGTACATCTCCCGAATATCACAAACGATGGTTACCGAGTTGCGCCGGAATCCGAGCAGCACTTCCAGTATCTCTCGCTGCAGTCTAGGGCCCGGCTCTACGCAGTCGCTGAATACCATGCTGTAATTGTCGGGCAGTTTTGATTTCTGGCCATTCCATTGAAGGTGAATCTCGTTCCCAGCCCCGTCGAGTTGCCGCATTGACTGCTCAACTTCAGGCTTCACACTGCGGTCCTTCATGTGCCAGGAGGGCTCAGGGCTGATACCGCCTTGATCAACTTCCCGTTGCCGGTTCAGCTGTACGCTACAGTAGGTGCTGTTGGCGCGGGTTGGTCGATCATCATTGTTTAATACTGCTCCGATACATGTCCAACCTTATGGCGTTCTGCGAGCTAGCGGTTCTCCCGGCTTGCCAATGACTTCCTCCCAGCAAGAATGCAATTCACTATGATCACTGCCAATTAGAAGGTCCACTGATTCCTCGGTGAGAGCCGTGAAGGGAACATCTCGCAGGTGGTCCCATTGCGCTGCCGCATTCGCCCAGTCAAAAGCCTTCAAGTTGCTTGCGATGCTTTCAATAGTTAGCGCCGTTAATTTGGACTGGAATGTTCCGTCAGCGCTTTCCACTGTGATGTTGACCGGCGTCGTGACGAATGTTTCCGTCAACCCGCTCAGAAGAGAAACTGATGCCTGCTGCGGTCTTCCTGCCACCCTCAACTGCCCGGCAGCTGCAGTGGTTATGTAGATGGTAGTGCTGCAATCGTCCAACATAGCGTTAACCTGTATCCGTTCTCCTTCATGCACAAGCGACACCGGGAGGATGCGTAACGAGACCGAAGGAACTCCACGTGGCCGATCTTCTCCCAGATCCGGCTCCCCTTCCGTGATGTTGCATGCTTGGATCGAGCAATTAATAGAGGCTGGCTCTATTGCAGGTGTTGTTGCCCCTCTTGTGCTGATCGAAGCTGTGGGAGCGCTTGACGATGCTACATCACTGCTCATGGCTGCTTCAGGCAGGTTCCGTTTCTGCTGCGGTTGACGATCATGAAGCAGCTGGTGATGTGTCTGACTGCAGCCACTGACACCGCACTTCCTGTTTCTGGTACAGGATGTCCCTCGATGTCCAGTGCCAAGGCACCTATAGCAGAGGCCTTTCTTCTTTGCTGTTTCCCACCGCCTGCTGGGCGACTCGCTCTTGAAGATATCACAACTCCATGTGTGATGGGGCGCATCACATACTGCACACTGGATTTTGGCAGCGCTCTGACCAGAGACCAGGAATGATGACGCGTGGGCTCCGGAACTGCCACCGAAAGCTGGTCGACTTCTTGCAGGGGCTGGTTTAGTCGGCAGCGCCGCTGCATGATGACCATCCACAGAACTGACTCCGTGGGCCATCTCCGCTGCTCCAGTAGCGAATTCTGCCTCGAGAGTCACCCATTCCAATAGCGTTGGTACACTGCTGGGTTTCGTGTTGTTGTGACGCCAACGGTTAAAGTGGGTCAGCATGGGCATGGGCAGCTTGTTTTGCAGCTGTCGGAACAGAAGACCATCGCCCAGCTCATATTCCGTGCCTGCATCCGCCATGTTCACTATCAGCACATCCAGCAAATCGGCGAATCTCTGCAGGTCTCCAGGCCGGCC